ACAGCCAACCCCTACACAATGGTAACCCTAGATATCAGGGCCAAAGATCAATGCTGTATTGTTATGTGTACCTATCACACTAGCGGCAAGCATACAGTTCAATGGAAACTTCCCAAATACCAACAATATAAAATTATTAAATGAAACGGGGCAAGAGAGGGAGAGATTGATATATAGAAAACTAATATAGAAATAGAACAAGAACATACATAGGCCACACAAATACAGCTGTGAATGGAGATACATATTAACCATTGAATGCAATGAGATAGAAGTCAAAGAAATTAGAACATCAGTAATAAACAAATAATAACAACCCGCTACGCACTATTTACTACTCTCTCTGTCTATAATGTAGGATACGTTTGGGTTCAGTGTGCTCTTTAAGAAAATAAAGATGCTAGTTGTTTTGAAATCTTACCTTAAAAGAAAGAATATGTGCCCCACCAAGTGAAAACATGAAAGTTGGATGAAAGGATAAATTGGGAAGTAAAAAGGTGGAGTTTAAATTAGAGAAGTAAACATAATTTTGGGACATAGTAAGGAGCAAAGCGGATTTGTAGTATTATTAATATACTCCCTCTATCTCAAAATAAACTTCTCGCTTTTCTTTTTTTTGTCCCAAAATAAACTTCTCATTCCTTCTATGTAATGAGTAGTTCACTTTAATTCTCTCTCCTCTGCATAAATCTCAACCACACAATTTCACCTTTTTCTTAAACTCAAAAGAAATGGAAATTTTAATTTGGGATGGAGGGAGTAGTATATACAATATCCATTCACCTAAGATAACCTTGTTCATGGAATACCTATATAGTCAAATACAAACAATTATCATTTTATATTTGCAGTTATGTGTGTTTTTGAAGCATGTGTACATGTTTCAACATGTGAAAGTGGCCAAAACAACCCGTCAACATACCAAGGTAATTATTCATGAACTTTGGTGGTTGAAACTGCTTTCCTTGTTGGTCAAGAATTGAGACTTTCCACCGATCAAGTACGGTGACTGCAGCTTGTTCGATATCACGCATAAGTGTACAAAGACCTCCTTGTCTCTCAACGGAACCCAAACCACCACCCCAAGAAAGAACTCGAGCCAAATCATTTCCTGTCCCAGCTGGAAGTATTGCCATTGGTGGGGGTGATACAAAATTTTGCTTGTCTATAGCATTTAAAACCCAACCAACAGTACCATCACCTCCACATACTAGAATTCTGAAGTGTAGTACCTTTCTGAACAAAAAGAGACCAGCTTCCGGCCCCTGTGTCGAGCTCAACTCAAATACCTAACCAACATAAGTTATGCAATATGTATGGCAATGTTAGAATTCAGAACTAGTAGACAGACCCATAAGCACTATGCAACTGAAATAAAGTGTCTCAATCTACAGACAAGTCATATCTTCATGATGTTTTTAAATTGAATGGTTCATGTAGGACATCATATGATCTTTCCAAATAAGAAATTGCAACAAAAAAAGTTCAGATACTGCAAGCCAACAATGAAAACCATAAAAAGTAATAATATGTTTCCTTGGTCCCTACAGAGTATCAGCAAGACGAATCACTGTATAGTCACAGCCACAATATTGAATATATTATTGATTCTACTCCATATGTGTTTGCCATTAACTCTTCTTTTGGACAAAATTTTTGTTGCACTATATCCTGCATATGCAGAGGAAAAGAGAATCAGATGCAACCAATGTATATCAGATGCCTGACCTGCACAGGATTTAGAAGGACGCTTAAGCGTCGCCTGAGTGAATCTCCTCGTTGTGCTCCACTTTTCTTGTTAATGAAAATTAGCAGAGGTCTAACATCCGAAGGCAAATCAGCCACCTCATATTTCAGTCTCATCCCTATAGGTTGGGTATCATCTTTTTTACTAATTGATGGACTTTTTTTTAGCTTGGCTTTGGGTTCAAGATTCTTAATATCACCATCACGCTCCTTTTCAACACTCTCTGCATGCATACCACCATTACAGTTCTCTTCCATCATATGTGATCCATTTACTGCCAGACTAGTGTCAGCAATGCTTTCACTTGATATATCGCCAACAGGATTGCCATTCCCTGTTCCTGCAGAGTCCTCACTCATGTGTTTCTCATTTCCATGCTTGTACTTCTTGCTTTGACTTCTAATAGTAGCACGAACAGATGATGCAAACTCATTGGCACCGTGAGTGATGGAGCTAAGCAACCCACCCGAAGAAGTACGATGTAATTCTTTAACATAAAGCGGTGACACAATAAGCCTTCTGAAAGGCCCCAAGTCACACGAGTCATCAGTCTCATTAGACATACTACTACTATGGCAATCAACATGAACCAAACGCTGGCACCATAAGCAGCACCATATAGGCGATCCACTGCATGGCTCTTCACAGTACCTGCAAAATGAAGTCTCAAATGGTTGGTCAGCTATTTCTGTCCACCGCACTGCCCACTGATGCACCGCATGCTGATACCCAATCATAGACACACACTTGCAATCCTTTTGAGCACTTGATGAGCAATGCATGTGAGCTGCTGCACCACATATGCTGCACCTATTAAATACACACTCTGGAGTAACCATAGGGCCAAGCGTCTGTGAGGGAGAAATTGACTTTAAACATACAAAACAGTTTAGATTTTTCCCACGAGAAACATCCTCCCAGTCCCAAATGTGTGGGGAAGCAGGAGCTTTAGGTTTTGCTTTCGGGTGTTTCTTCGACCTAGCAATGGCTTTCATCCAGCCCAAGTTTATATTCCTTCTCCATTGGAAAGCCGTGTAAAAAATGGTCAAAATCCCTACTAATCCCGCAACCACACAAGTTAAAATGAAAAGCCAAGATTCTGCCATTTCTGACGGATCCTTCACAATCCAACTCTGAAACATAGATTCAGGGTCTCCAAAGTCTTCCATTTCTCTATACTTCTATCCACTGCACATTCTACGATCCAAAGCAAGTGCAGATGAATGGAAATATTCTTAGGATCTTCATTACTACTACATCATCCTACTCAGTTACCACTCCCAATCACCTGCAAAAACAAAATGACCATGTCACTGAGCAAAAGTAAGAACGAAGATCAAGCCCTACCTAAAGTATTACCTGATCAACCTCATTTTCCCTAAACTTTTTTCAATCCATTTGTATTAATCACAAAAACACATAGAGCAACCAAATTCCTCGATAGGAAAAAAAACAAAGCAATCCTATATAAGAGAAACAGGCACAAAAACAGAAAAAAAAAGGCATGAAAATGCGCGAAAAATTAATGTGATCATCCATGATATTGCTAAACACAAACATCAATCAACGCGGAAAAGGTAAAGCAAAGTCAAAACCCAACTCACAGGGATCCGATAGTCTGTCGGTGGCGAACCCTAGCAGAGAGGGATGGAAAAACGCGCGAACTCGGGAGGAATATATGCTTCTCTTGAAAACGAAGAGACTGAAATGGTTATAGAGGAAAATCAATGAATTTCGGTACAGATAAAAAAAATTATATCGCACAGATTCGAGAGATTCTATTTACTGAATGGACGTCCAGAGATGAACAGAGAGTTTGGAGATTCTCAGAGCTGCACGTGTCGGGCAGATGGGTCCTTTAGTTCACCGATAATCCACATGATTCTGATTCTAATTCTTCCATTTTGAATTTTACAAAAATAATAATCCCTCCTTTCCAGAGTATTTGTCCACTTTCATTTTTATACATCATCCAATGCACTTCTTTAATTCATTTGATCTTGTAATTTGTATATTAAAAAGTTATAGAAATTATATATTAATAATCTATATGTTAAGACAAATCAAACAAGATCACACATGACTATATTTAGGCTTACACATTGAGAGAATTTGATGAGTCAAAGTACTTAGATGAACAGTTCCAAAAGTCAAAAGTGGACAAAAATTGGGGGACGGAGGAAGTACGAGTTGTTAAATCCAAAATTAAGTATAAATTAATTGGGAAAAGTGCACTGTTAATCCCTGAACTCTTTGAATATTGCATGGTTTATTCTTGAACATTAAAAAGTACATCGTTTACTCTTGAACTTTTTGAAAATTGCATGATTTATCCCTAGACATTGAAAAGTGCATCAAATACCCTAAACAATTTAAAATGTTGAACTGTTGAACCTAAAATGCTAGACAGGGAGTGAGTTGCTCCCACACACCGAAATTGCGAGTATGATTCGTATAGTCCTTGTGAATTCTCAAAAGTACCCTTTTCCCAAAATTGTCTTCTTTATTTAAATGTTTAGGAGTAAATCGTGTAATTTTTGAAGAGTTCAGAAGTATTTGGTGCACTTTTTAATATTTAGAGTTAAATTGTGTAATATTTGAAGAACTTAGAAGTTGATGGCGATAAACCACCGAGAACAAAGAATAATATAAGTTTTAGAGAGAGAGAATGCAAAGTAGGAGTTTATTCGTTCTAAGCTTGGGATCCATTACAATGAGGGGTCTCTCCCCTTTTATAGGGGATACAATACACATAGTCAAAGTTTCTCTGATCGAGGTTCGTCGCCTAGCGGACGTCATCTCTGTTATGCGTTGTCTCTTTCATCCCATCGCTGTCGCGCAGTCAACGTGGCCGGTCGCTATCCGGCGGTCGCTATCACGGTCTCCAGCCGAGCTCACGGGCCGAGCCGAGCCCATGGGACGAGCCGAGCTCATGGGCCGAACAAGTGTGACCTTCCACGTGGCTGATGGGGCCCGGCTGACGTGTCTTTTGGGGTCGTCCTCCATCATAAGCCCCCCACTCTCCGGGTTTCGTTGCAATCAGCGATGGAACACGAGAGAGTATGGGTACTGTAGGAGAGAGGCGCGGGGGCCCACGTGGAAAGGGGATAGCAGGCCATTGGTGCCGTTTGGGCTTCGCAATCATGAAGGGGTGCGTCGTTTCGCCTCCCTAGGCCAAGTGGCGGCCCATCATTGCACCCATTCAAAACCTTGCTCTATAAATACCCACCCTACTCATCTCATTCTTCACCTTTTAGAGAGAGAAAGGACCCTTCACCGTCGTTCGCGTCCATCTTCCGGCTCCATTCTAGGTTAGTCCTCGTCCCTTCTCTTCCATGTCTTCCCAATCTTCGGTCTTTCGTCAGTCCGAGTCCGATCGCGGTGCTGAGGGCTCCGTCGCAGGTTCCGTGCAGGAGAGTGACTCCCGCTCGCCCTCCGTCGAGGAGATAGTCGAAGCGGTCGAGATCCCTCTCCAGTCGGAGCCTCGCAATCAGAGGCGGACCGTCCTCGAGGACTCGGGGATCCGAGCGCGAAAGTGCACCCTTACTCGGGAGGAGTTCCGCAAAGCGAAGCGCCTAGCCTCGGCGCCGGGCGTAACCGTGCAACGTCCTACTACCGAACAGTCGGTCTTTCACGCCCCACCGGGTTCCTTCGCCATCCACCTCAAGTCCCTCGAGTATGGGTTTCGCTTCCCCCTCCACCTGCTGGTTATAGATTTCTTCCTCCACTTTGATTTCCTCCCTTGCCAAGTCGTGCCCAAATCCCACCGCTACCTGGCGGGATTTCTCATTCGTTGCCAAGGGACCGGGGTTCGCCCCGATCTAGCCCGTTTCTTGCTCCTCTTCCGGTTGGCGAAGTCGTCCAGTCGGGCGAACTCCGACTCGGGCTCGTACGCCTCCATATTCCAAAGACAGGAGAAGCTCTTCAAGACGAGAAAAGACTCCGCCAAGAGTTGGAAGGGGAAATTCGTCTTCGTTTCTCTGTCCTCGGGCTCCCCCTTTCGTAAGGAACCCCTCAGCTCCTTCCGACGTCGTTCCGCCTTCATCAACTCGGACAAGATGCTCGAGGATGTAGAGACGCTCTGCCGAGGGGGGCCCTTCGAGGTCGGATCGATAGTGACGAACGACGCGTTAGCGGCGCTCGGATTCGTCTTCCTATCCCCGGAAGAAACTCAGCGGAGCATCGAAGAAGGCCCCTCAGGTCAGTGCAATCTCTCCTCCTCGGCCGTCCGTGGGTCACGACTACCTCGGATTCTCCCACCTCGCTCTTTCGCGGCTTAAGTCCTCGCCTCATCATTTATCTTTTTTGGTTGTGCAGGTGAAATCATGCTTTCCAGCGCCGAACGGATGAAGCTCATGTTCCCAGATGCCACAAGTGGCAGCTCCCGGGCTCCTACCGTGGCCGGTCGTCCTCCGACTCCGCCGGTGAAGCCGATCCCCGAGCCGGCCCAGAAGAAGAAGAGGAAGGATACGGCCTCGGCCACCGACACTCCCACGGGGTCCGAGTCCCCCCTGATGAAGGATTTCGGCCACCAGAGGCATGTCAAGGCGGCCTTCCCCGCAGGGGTCTCCTTCCTGGACCGGGACTACGATCCAGAGACTTTTCTGCGTAGCATGACCCCCCCGACCGACCGCGCCAAGATCAAGGACGCCGACCGGGAAGCTCTTGCCTCGGACATGTTCCACGAGATGGGCTCGGTAAGTTTCTCCATTCATACTTTGTAAACACGTTTTCTGCGGCGCTCACCCCTTGTATACCTGCAGGCGATGATGCGCATGGTCGACATGACCCATCGACTGCGCATCAATGAGGCTGACCGGAGCAGAGCTTACGTTGAGATAGCTGACCTCAACGAGGCGTTGAAGGTGGCCAAGGAGCAAGCTCGTCAGGCCGAGGAGCGGGCTAAGCGAGCCGAGGAGCAGGCTCAGCAGATCGCAGAGGCGGCTCGGCAGGCGCGCCAGGAGGTTCGCGAGCAAGCCGTGGCAGAGTTTCTATCCTCGGGGGCATTCCAGGATGAGGCATTCGCCCGCATGAATGACCTGCTCAAGGCATGGGGGCAGACTGAGGAGGGGAAGGCCTTTGCTCGTTCCGAGGGGACCCAGTGGTACAACCTCGGTCTTTTCCGAGCGCAGCAGGTCCTCTCTGACAGGTTCCTCAACGGGGTGGACCTCCCCGAACCGTGCGACAATCCTGATGAGTTCGACGCCTCCATCTATTACCCGAATGGCGGGGACACGGCTGTCGAGCAGGCGAATGTCAATTGATAGAAACTTAAAACTTTGTATTTGATGTAATGTTGCTCAGAAGTCGTTTTTGAACTTTTCTACTTATACGGATATGTCATGACTTTGTTCTATATGGGTATGTCGTACTTCTCTTTTGTCTCTACTCATGCTGCCTTCGTCCAACTTGTGTGCTCGCCCTACCCCGTCCGACCGGAACTCGGCCACGCCGAGGGGGGATCACCTTGGGACTTGGTCCTCTGACCCCTCGTTACCCGAGACACTTGATGGGACTTGAGCTTCTGACCTGCTGCCCGCTGGGCCATTCCCGTCCCGCCACGTGTACCCTTCCCCCTAGGCGAGATGCCTATATAAGGGAGGGGTCTTTACCATTTGCTTGCACTCATCACTTGCTTCCTTTGAATTCTTCTAATCTCATCATGCCGCGCTCGGCTCCTACTCCCCCCGATTCCAGTGAGGAGCGAGGAGAGACGTTCTCCTTCGGCAGCCATTCCCTTGGTGGTTCTTCGGCCATTCCGACCAAGTCAGGGCCAAGCTCGACCCCGCCGTCCTTGCCGCGGGACTCTTGGGACTCGGACTCTGAGTCCGAGTCAGTGCACCCCGATCCTTCTGCTAAGATCCCGGGGTTCATCTACTACTCGTCGGAGGAGGACGAGAAGACCCCCTCTCCGCCGGTTCGTCGTGAGGTCTCCCCTCCCCAAGTCGCCGCCTACCGTGGTGGCCGTGGGCGTCGCCCTCCCGCTCCTCCGGCAGAGGACGCGAGTGAGGGTTCCGTGGCATCTTATCATCCGAGCCGGCAATCCCTTGAAGACCCGGGCTCGCCCAGCTTCGCCGAATCTACCGGTCATTCTGTTTTCAGTAGGGCTCCTTCTCCATCCTCTTACCCCCCGCCTCGCCCTTGCGAGCGTGGGTGGAATTGTGGCATGCACTGAAGTTTGCCCGCACTTTAATTATTTGTAATCCGCTTAATTGTGGTAAGGCGTTCGTGCCATGTACTTGCCCGTTTTCCGGGATAAATAAAATTTGAGTTTGATTAAATCTTGTTTTCGCTTCGCTTTTGGGCCGAAGAGTTGCACTCGGCCTTCAAGAGGCGTGGGGCGCATTATTTTTTATTTTTTATTTATTCTTTTTTTTTACCCGCGCTCGGTTCTTCCTCAAGAAAGGGGGAAATGCCGAGCACGTGCGCATGACCTTCATCCGGGAAGAACATCCGGGTATGGTTTGCGCTCGGCTCTCCCCCTTAGGGGGAATGCCGAATACAAGTGTGACCTCCATCCGGGAAGAACATCCGGGAATGGTCTACACTCGGCCTCACTCCTAAGAGGGAGTGCCGAGCACGCGTGTCATGCCTCCGGGTATGGTATGCGCACGGCTCTCCCCCTTAGGGGGGATGCCGAGCACAAGTGTGACCTTCATCCGGGAAGAACATCCGGGAATGGTCGACACTCGGCCTCGCTCCTAAGAGGGAGTTCCGAGCACGCGTGTTTGATTGGCATCCGGAAACGCATCCGGGTATGGTATGCGCTCGGCTCTCCCCCTTAGGGAGGATGCCGAGCACAAGTGTGACCTTCATCCGGGAAGAACATCCGGGAATGGTCTACACTCGGCCTCACTCCTAAGAGGGAGTGCCAAGCACCAGTGACCATCCTGGAAGAACATCCGGGAATGGTCGGCGCTCAGCTCTTCCCCTTAGGAGGAACGCCGGGCGCGAGTGTTAAAGCAAGTTCTCTTCGCAAAGAATAAAACTTCATTCCATTGTTCCTCCAAAAGGATCTACGGGTTCCCTGCTTTGGGGTCCGTGTACATCGGAAATCTACTGATAAAACTTGATTAGGTTCTCGGCATTCCACGTCCTGGGCACATCTCCTCCGCTCGGCGTCTGCAGGCGGAATGTCGACGGACCCACCGCTTCTTTAATGATGTATGGGCCTTCGTAATTTTTGGCGAATTTCCCTCCTTCCAGGGGGCGGCTCACCGCCCTTTTGCGCAAGACCCAATCTCCTTCAGTGAGTCCCCGTGCGCGCACACGTCCATCATGGTAGCTCTTCACCCTCCTTCGGTAATTTTCCGCCCGTATGAAGGCCGCTTCTCGCCTCTCGTGCACGAGGTGGAGCTCGGCTGCCAAGGTTTCTTCGTTACGCTCGGGGTCGAGGATCTCCTCCCTATGTGTTGCAATAGAAGTTTCAGCGGGGGCCCTTGCCTCAAATCCGTAGCACAGGGCGAAGGGGGTTTCCCCGGTCGCCCTCCTCGGCGTGGTCCGGTAAATCCATAGGATGTAGGGCAATTCTTCAGCCCACTCCTCTCCGCAGGCTTCCAGCTTCCGTTTCAGACCATCAATTATCGTTCGGTTGGCGTTCTCCACCTGACCGTTCGTCTGGGGGTACCCGACCGAAGCATAGCTATGCTTGATCCCCCAACTATCGAGGAAGGCATTGAAGGGCCTGGACTCGAATTGTGTGCCATTGTCTGTGATTATGCGCTCGGGGACCCCGAACCGACAGATGACTTGTTTTGCGAGAAACTTTTGGCATTGGGCTCCGGTGATGCTCGCCAGTGGAGCTGCTTCCACCCACTTAGTGAAGTAATCGATGGCTACGATGACGTACCTCACACTCCCGGTTCCCCTAGGGAGTGCACCCACGAGATCCACCCCCCAACGCGCAAACGGGATGGCCGTGCTGATGGGGGTGTAGTTGGTTGAAGGCCTCCCCGGCACTTTCTGGAATTCTTGGCAGACTTTACACTTATTCACAAACTCTGCGCAATCCTTGACTATCGTCGGCCAAAAATATCCTTGGAGGGTTATCTTCCTTGACACCGTGTAAGCCCCCTGGTGGGCGGAGCAAATCCCGGCGTGCACTTCCTCCATAACCTGCTTTGCTTCAGTTGGTCTAAGGCACCTGAGTAGCGTCCCGTTGTACGCTCGCTTGTATAGCTTCTCGCCTTCCAACGTGTATCCCGGTGCCCTCGTTCGGACCAGCTTGGCCTTCACCGCGTCGTCCGGGAGGGTGCCATCCTTTAGAAAGGCAACTATATCGTCCGTCCAATCTTTGGGCCAAGCAAAGATCATTGCCACGGGGAAGGCATGGATGCTCGGCTCGGACAGCTCCTCCACATTCGCCATCCGCCTGATGTGCTCGGGCGTGTCCGAGCTTAGTTTTGACAAGATATCCGCCTCCGCGTTCTCCGCTCGGGGGATCTGCTCGACGCTATATGCGGTGAAGCTCTTAAGGAGTTCCAAAGCCGTATCTCTGTATTTCTTCATTCTGTCGTCCTTCGCCTCGAACTCCCCCGAGACATGGCCAACCACCAACTTCGAATCGCACTTTATTCTTAGTTTCATCGCATTCATCCCGGCTTCTAGGCGTAGCCCGCACAAGAGCGCTTCGTATTCCGCCTCATTATTCGATGCTTTGAAGCCAAAACGAATTGAATAGTACGCTCTGAAACCTTCGGGTGCGATGACCACCACTCCGCCCCCCGAGTTTTTGGCGGCGGAGGAGCCGTCGGTAAAAACTGTCCACCAGTCATCGGTTTCAAGTTCCGGGCTCGGCTCTTCCCGAGCGGTGCATTCCACCACGAAGTCGGCCAGCGCTTGCCCCTTGATCGCCGGCCTTGGCTTGAACTCGATCTGGAAGGCTCCCAGGAATACTGCCCACTTAGACATGCGAGAGGGCGCGTTCGGGCTCCGGAGTAGCGCGCCTATGGGCTGCTGGGAGAGCACCTGAACCGGGTGAGCTTGGAAGTAAGGCGTCAATCGCTGCACGGTTGATACTACCGCTAGGACCGTCTTTTCGGCCACGGAGTACCTGAGCTCGGCACCCCTCAACGTCTTAGCCGTGTAGTATACCAGGTGTTGAGCTCCGCCACCTTCTCGGACTAGGACCGAGCTTAGTGCCTCGGGCGACACTCCCAGGTAAAGATACAAAGTCTCACCGGGCTCGGGCTTGGCAAGGACCGGTGGAGAGAGGAGGTAGGATTTCAGAGACTCAAAGGATTGTTGGCACTCTTCCGTCCATACAAACCCTCGGGACTTCTTCACAGCTTGGAAGAATGGGGCGGCTCGATCCGCTACCTTGGAGAGGAAACGGCTGAGCGCGACCAACTTACCGGTCAAGCGCTGCACCTCCTTGACATTTCGTGGAGCCTCCATGTCAAGGATGGCGCGCACCTTCTCGGGGTTGGGCTCAATACCGCGCCTGCTCACCATATGTCCCAAGAATTTGCCGCCTTGGACTCCGAACGTGCACTTCTTCGGATTCAACCGGAGGTTGTACTTTTCCATAATCTTGAAGACTCCTTCTAAGTCTTCCGCATGGGTGGTCGCCNGGAGCTCGCTTGGCGGGCGCGGCCTCAGAGTCGGGAACATCATCGAACTCCTCCGAGGCTAGGAACTTAGCGCGCGCCAAGGTCTCTTGGTACGTGGGGGGAGGATTCTTGCGGAGCTCCTTCCTCACTTCTCCGCGGGGAAGGGCTGCTTGGAACATGGCCACCAACGCTTGGTCATCCGCCCCATGCACGTCTCTGGCTTCCTTTTCCCACCGGACTACGAAGTCGCGGACCTTCTCTCCCTTGCGGATGCATATGTTGAGCAGGTGGGAGTAAGGGAGCCTCTGCCTTCGGTTTGCCGCGAAATGCGTCAAGAACCTCTCCGCCAGTGTATCCCAATCGTCAATAGTTCCCTTCAGGAGCCGGTTGAACCAATCGCACGCGGAGCCCTCCAGCGTCGCGAGAAAGCATCGACACTTGACCTCGTCCGGGGCAGCCGCCGCTTCCATAGAAGCATAGAACTTAGACAAATGATCTTGGGGGTCCGTCGTTCCGTTGTAGGCCTTGATCTGCCACGGCTGGAAGTTTGCCGGCAGCGGGACCGACATAACCCTCGGAGTGAACGGGGTTACCGTCCGCAAGATGGGCTGGCTGTAGGGAGCCCTGGTCTCCACTCGGCGCTTAAGCTTGGCAACCTCACGTGCGAGCCGAGACACTCCTTGGTCAGAGACCTTTGTCTTCTCTGTTCTCGTCGGGCTATGGCGACGCTGGGTGCGTTCCTCCCGCCTCTCTCCGCTCCGCTCAGACCTCGCCGAGCGAGCATCCGATGTTGCGGACTCCTCAGCATGCCTCCGCCTGCCTTCGGCTATTTGTCGGCGGAGGTCGCCCGGGCGAACTTCCGGTCCGCGGTCGAGCGTGTTGAAGGCCGACACCCGGGTCTCTTCCCCTCCTAAGCGCTTGAAGGCTGACACTCGGCACTCGCTGGACTCATCGTCCTCCTCATCCGGGACGTCCTCCACAATCACCTCCTCGATTGCCGGGGCCTTGCCGGGCCTCCTCCTACTCCTCCGGGTCTTCTTCCCCTTGTGTTGGGAAGTGGCAGCGTGTTCGCCATGGAGATTGGGCGGAGCTTTGCCAACTCTGGCGCCGGGCACGTTCCCACCAATGGCGGAAAGTGCCGCAACGGCTGCCTGGAGCTGCTCAGCGGTCACCCCCAAGCCGAACAGCGCCTGGACCGCGTCCGGAGTCGAACCGATGCCGCCCGTACCATTGCCGCTGCCCGGCGCGTTCTCCTCGCCAACGACGTGGCTGGTGGTGGGGACGTTGCTCTTTGTTTGCACCATTCTCGCGTTCGGGAGTTAACCTACGAGTATGTTTCTCTTCTCTCAATGAGAGCACCAATTTGATGGCGATAAACCACCGAGAACAAAGAATAATATAAGTTTTAGAGAGAGAGAATGCAAAGTAGGAGTTTATTCGTTCTAAGCTTGGGATCCATTACAATGAGGGGTCTCTCCCCTTTTATAGGGGATACAATACACATAGTCAAAGTTTCTCTGATCGAGGTTCGTCGCCTAGCGGATGTCATCTCTGTTATGCGTTGTCTCTTTCATCCCATCGCTGTCGCGCAGTCAACGTGGCCGGTCGCTATCACGGTCTCCAGCCGAGCTCACGGGCCGAGCCGAGCCCATGGGACGAGCCGAGCTCATGGGCCGAACAAGTGTGACCTTCCACGTGGCTGATGGGGCCCGGCTGACGTGTCTTTTGGGGTCGTCCTTCATCAGAAGTATTTGGTGCACTTTTTAATGTTCAATGCTAAACCGTGCAATTTTTTGAATAATTTGGAGGTAAACAGTGCACTTTTCTCTAAATTAATTAGTTGAAATTGATTTATTATTTTAGATCGGGTCCAAGATAAACCAAAAACTAATTACCAAGCTAAAAATAAAAGTACGACTAAGCCAATGTCACATCATTAATACAACCGATTTTCAACGATGTATAACAATCATTAGGTCTCTTCATGTGTCATTGATATCGCTACACGTCTGATATATAAACTAATATATAATACATCATATCACCCGGTCTATAAGTTATAAAACATTTTATTTTAGTATGTTGTTGTGTGCTCGTCCTGAGCCAGAATGTTGATCCTCGAGGACAATGATCTAGTCTATTCTCTTCTGAGAAAATTAGACTAAATTGTTGACTCGGTCAACCTTGGGTTTACAACCATCAAAAGTCTTTGATGATATTTAAAATTTAATATGATTGTGAGTAACACGCGGTGGTGAACGACGATGGTAGGTGGTTGTCAATTGATAGAGACAAAATGCCCATGTTTGAGAGCTATTTGATATCCATATATATCAAATTCGAATTATGTTTAAATGTCTAAAAGCTCGCGAATGATTTTTTTATAATGTGAAATATCATATGGAGCAATTTATATCACTCAGTCTCACCAAATAAGTTTAAAAACTTTTAAAATAGAAAGGCAACTACAAAATACATTACCCTTAAATTTGTTAAAAATTGATGAGAAATATTTTTCGAAACAGAAGAAGTATGTGTTCAAAAAATGTGTTTCAGACTTTCACCACTTACTTTTTTGTTTGACATGTGAGAAAATAATTCAGAGTGTATTTGGTTGGGGAAATCAAATGAAAATGATTTCCAAAAAAAATGATTTCCCCCAAATTTTTTTGTTAGGTAGAAAAAAAATTATTTTTCTAACTTTTCTTTTAATGGTTATATTCCAAAATTAATATTTAAAAATATTTTTAATTATATTTTTAAAATTATTTTAGCAAGATAGGAGTGGAACTGTGGAAGGTGCAAGGTGGGGGTGTTGGCGTGAGGTACATGGGGGAAGGGTAGGGGCTGATGGTCGGGTTATCGAGTGACGGTGGACGGTGTGGTGATGGATAAGGGGTTGGGGTGGGTGGGCTGATGGGTAAACATGTGGGGTGGGTGTGGATGGGGGATAACAGGGTAAAGGGGGCGAGGGGGTAAGGGTCACATGGTGGGGTTGACGGGGGATAGGGGGAACAGGGTGGTGGATGGGCACGAGGCGAAGAGCGAATAAGAATTTTTTCTTCAAAAATAAACGTGAAATATTTTCCTCTAGATAAAAGAAAATACTTTTCTTATGAAATATTTCCCTACTACTTGTGTTGCTAAACAAGAAAAAATGGAATCAATTTTTTTAGGCAAATATTTTTTTCTAACCGAACACACCATAGAGCACAAAAGATGATAAAATGTCTTTCACCATCATACAAAGTTGAAGAAAACTATCACTCTCAAGTCTCAATGCACTACATTTCATAATATCATTGCAGCTAGTGTTGGATGGTCCACAAACCTACACAACATGTTGAAATGTTAGCTCATTAATACCTCTGTTAGATTTAATAAAACGTAACATTATAATTTCACTTGATTGATGACATCACTTGGTTACCACTTACCAATGCTCAAAAAATTGAGATCAGGATTCTTCGGTGACTACATGTATACAAGGTACGAGATTACAAGTTGAATGTCTCATCATTAAGTCTTGTCATTATTGAGTTGAGACTTTTCTTAATTTGGTTACTTACGAGTGGATTTTTTACGATACTAAGTGTTACTTTCGGGTGTTCAAAAAATGTTGCTTTCGGTCCGAACGTAAGTCCATTCTTGGCCTAACTCGGATATTGTCCGTTCTTGGTCTAGCCCAAGAATCAGGCTACCCTATAAATGTGGGTGTACTATCTACACTTGTCAACTAAATGATGGACCTTTCTACCCATATACTCTTACAGGCTACAGCCTAGTGTTGTCTTCCTTCCTCGTAAGCATCGCCTCCTCTTCCTGGTCTAGATGTTCCGCTCTTCGGCTCTTAAATAATCCTGCAAAACTCATTTCTTCGCACCAGTTTCAACCTCAAATCGAGGCTTAATCCGCTGTTGCGTTTGGATTTCTTTCGTACTAATCTCCCCGCCCACCATGGCTTCTCCTTTCACACTCCATTCAGCCAAGACAGCAGCTTTGCTGGGCGGCGCTTCTTCCCTCAAGAATCGCCCCCTTATTCCGCACCAGAACTCCATTTCTTTCGGATCTACTTCCAGATCCGGGCCCGCATTGCTCCATCAACTCCAGGTTTGCATTCAAGCTCAATGGGTTTGAGTTCGTTTGACCAAAGAATGAATTAAGATTGATTTTTATTCTTCTTCTTGTTCTTGATTTTTTCATTAACGCCCAGGGTGGTTTGAAAGTCCTAGCACAGAGCAGCGAGGTAAGTTGAGTTTCTTCATCATCGTTTGCTTCTTCTTGCCCCCCCCCTTAAAGGCAATCTATAATGTGTCTCACTTTCACTTCAAGTCTTGTTCAAGAATAAATGAGTCCTGGAAGAGACGATTATGTTTCAGCTTATCATTTTCGAAGAGGAATTACATAATTTCTTCAAAATGTGTCATTCTCTTTATATTGTGCAAGGTCTCACTTATTATTACTGGTCAGGCCAGTCAGGTAGTTAGGTCACTCATACAAATAGCTTTGTCTGTTAAATTTACAAGGAGTTTGTTAGTGTGAGTGGAACAACACTGAACTGGATGGAGCAAATATCTAATACTACGTAAATATTGCATAAAGGGCAATGCTATTATCAATTAAGCTAGGAAGCTAACATGGAAAAATTCAGGAAAGCTATAGATCTGATGAGCCACCATTCATTAGCTTAAAGGGTGAATATTACCCATAGTGTTGTACCTAGACTATTCCGAACTAATACGGAGTGCTCTTTTTGGAATATACAGAGTGTTTTGTTGTACAAAAGGGAAAATGGATTTTTTTGTTAAATGCTATCTTGTACTACGGAATAAAACTATACTAGACTAGATATTGCGGAAGATGTTTTAAGTTTTAACAGGGAAAGGCTACATTATGTGAAACAGGGGTAAGTAGTAAAAGAAAACATTTCTCTAGTGCTGGAAATTAATCATGTCAACTGTTTCAAATGTTAAGGTTGCTGCTGTTGAGAAAACTGCGAATTCGAAACCGGTTCCAGAAGAAAAAACTGAAGAAGAAATTCCCAAAGCTGACAAGGCAGTCTTGGATGTTTCCTTAATTTCAGACTTCATGTCTCAAGCAGCCCATCTTGTCGAGTGAGCACACTCTAATGATTTCCACAAACACCTGCTCAGTTTTGCATTTTCCAGGCTGTTTTAGCTTCTTCTGTTTTTTTTCTGGATTTCTTAAAATGCTTTGTAGGCTTGTGGATTCAAAAGACATTGTAGAGCTGCAGCTAAAGCAGCAGGACTTTGAGATAAGTATAAGGAAGAAGGAAGCATTGCCTCAACAACAGCAAGTATTATCTCCTCCTCCTGTTGTTTGGCAACAGCCTGCTGTGCAGCACGCCTTTGCTCAGACACAAGACACACAAGTGCAGCAACCTCCAGCTGCTACTGCGGCGGCCCCACTCGCTCTTCCTCCACCTTCAAAGCCCAAAAAGTCATCTCATCCTCCACTTAAGAGCCCTGTCCCAGGAACATTTTACCGTGCCCCTGCCCCAGGTCAACCACCTTTTGTGAAGGTACATGGTTAAGGACACGCTCCGTTTAGTTCTAGCAGGACCATGATTAACTTCACACTGTATATGTATTTATTTACTCATATTCTAAGCAATAATAATCTATACTTCAGATTGCAACAATAGAACCCCCACGGTATTCTATCGTAGCTTTTGCTTCACTTAGAGGAGGGCAGTTTAGTTCTACCTTTTACTCCTGTTCTGGGCTTGGTTTGGTATAAAACGGGTTGGGAAATAGTTGCTCATTTAAAAACAAAACTTTGCCTTATAATTGTAGCGATTGCGTTTTGCAGGTCGGAGACAAGGTCAAAAAAGGGCAAATACTTTGCATCGTTGAGGCAATGAAACTGATGAATGAAATTGAGGTTTGGTTTCCTTGGTCTCAATAGTTCCAACATTATGCTTGATTTGATCATTTCCAATGTTAATAGAAAACACTATGCATCACAAAAAACATCATTGGATGATTGTCATGAAGTTTGAATGCTATACTACATACCCTTGACAGCCCCCCTCCCCTCTCTCCTCAAATTTCTTGGCTACCTTTTGTAGGCTGAATACTCTGGGACTGTAGTTGAAATACTAGTTGAAAATGGCAAGCCTATCTGTTTGGGAGAAGTATCTCTCTCTCTCTCTCTCTCTCCCTATTTTTGCTCATTTGTTAGGTATATACTGTAACTTATGTTTCCTTTGTGCAGCCCTTGTTTATCATTGAACCATGAAGAACAGATGGACTGCTTCTAATAGGGAAAATCATAGATGGGTGGGAAGCTCACGAATGAGTTTAGAATCTGTACCGATGTAGTCATGTGCGTGTTTGGTCACCCCACCCCCACCCAAAGTATGCTAATTATGTTTTCAGATTGTATTCTCTTTCTTTTCAAATGAGGTACTTGAACTTTTTGGACCAAATGGAGTGCTTTATAGATTGTGGGTTACTGTTTACATGAGAAAAAAAATCATCTCCATTTGTTGCAGTATTGTGTTTAGTAAACTTGTACCAACAAATATTTACATGGATTCAATTCCGAATTTCGTGTGATTCTTCAATTTGAGTGATAAATTCTTCTTCATCCAATGGGACTGAGGTTCACAGCTAAAAGGTTCTGCTCCTACTTGCAGTATGAGTAGAAACTAAACTTCCAAAGCATAAGTGTATCTCTTTTCAACCAAGTTAAGAAAGAAAGTACACGAGATTCCATTTTTCATATCTATTAGATGCTTAAAGAGAGCAGTAACTGTAAAACCATGGCCAAATTTAACCACAGTGCCAAGATAAGATCACCTAACAGTAAAACCCAGGCCTGTCGAAAGAGATTACCAATCAGGGCTTAAACTACAACATTTACTGCAACTCAAAACATGAAGAAAGATAGCACAAAATCCCAGCAAGTTTTTCTCAGGCTTTGTGTGCAGAGAGCAACATTCTAAGCTCATGAACCAGTGGGGGAGTGTACAAAAATGACAACAAGCCATTAACATCACCATCCTTTCATCTGTAACTTCTTTTTGCCACGCCGTTTTTGCCACTCATCTGCTCTATCCATCCAAGAACACCTCCAAGGCATCTGTGCCGCGATATTCTTCATTAGGCATCACACACAATTACATGTAAATATTAAAACCATCATTTTCTTGATCAATGTATAAGGGCATTGGAGATAACACGTAAGAGAAACATGACATAAGTTTATTAAAAAAGGCACCAGACCAGTGTTTGAAGAACATACATAATTTAACAACAATGTAAAACATGTGCCTATTCACCCAGTCAAGGAAGCTTTTTCTAACACTCTCAATGAACTCGCTTGCTCGTTGACGCCTTTTTACCTTTTGTTAGCAGTTGGCCTGGTCCAAGTTTTAGCCAAGAGAGTGAGGGCACCGATCCCGGCACTCATTCCAACTCCGAGGAGGAACGAAGGCACGTGCACATAGGATTTCCCTTTGTTCTGCACCATCATTATCTCCCACATCAAGTTTATATCATCTGGATGATATAAACTCAAGTGTATAGCCAGTGACATTCTTAGATCAGAAGCTTCTAGGGTTTTGTCCATGGAGATAGGTGTTAAACAGACAGGACAGCATGCCTTCATGCACCCTCCTCCATCCCCATCCCTTGTTATCGACACTCGGTTGGCCACTGCTTTCGCTCTATCCCGCAAAGAATTCTCAACACGCCTAGGAATCTGTACAATCACATTCATGCATTCTTTAAGCATCACTAGGATTTATAAGATCAGAGAAAAAAGGGTTATAGTAGGATCAAGAAAAGAGTTAAAGGCATGATTTTTTTGCCTGACAAACCAATAAGAAAAATATTCCCCCCAGAGAAATCAATGCAATATTATTGCTATTATCCTAACATTTCAAATCAAAACCATACGGTTGCGTTTTTGTTTATTGCCAGAATGAGATTACAGAGCCGCGTCCATGTCAGCTGCAGAAATCTGCTCATCTTCAGGTTTCTTCTTGGTGAAGGCTACTGCATCATGTGATTAAATATGAAGGGAATGGATTAGGAAAAACCATCACTTTCAGACCATTCAATCGAGAAGAAAGGTATCAACTTCAAATCTTGCAGATGAAAGAAAGAGGAATCTGAACAATCAAGATGCCTTTAGCACTTATTTATGAATTTCTCTCCATAGAAAACAAAAATAGGGTTCTTTTACCCGGGGAAGAAAGACTGTGCAGAAAGACATGGGCATGTGCTCAAATGTCCAAGCAGAATAATAATTGGGCATTTAATACTGTTAATAAAATAAAAAAACAAGTTCTTTTTTTCATACTTTAAGAAATAATTGGGCTCCCATCATTATGCTCCTCCATTGGAAGATGAGAAAAAAGGGGTAAATTTAAAGAGCATCTGGGAAAATTCTTCAATATATGCGTCAAGAAACAAGAAAGAAGAAAAATGTGAAGTGCACATACCGAGCTTTAACCGCAGTGATGAATTTTGATCGCAGGAGAGAGGAAAGGAAAGCAGCGAGCAGGGCGGTAAAATATGCGATTTTGGATGTTTCAAATTTTAAAAAAAATAAAATACACTCACGTTTCCAAAATTGATTAGTTACGGCGTTTTTTTCTTTTACGGGACTTCCGATATTTTGTTTACTTTATCATTTATTTATTGTTTTATAAAATAAAATGCTTTGTAATATTTTCCTCATCTAAAAGTTTTTTTCCGTTTATTAATCATATGATCAAATATGATTAATTTAATTGGTCTACTTGCATTACCCGTTGATAAAATAATATATTAATGTCACTTCTAATTTTATAGATTTTTGACGTACTTTTTAAATATTCCATATGTAACTTTTGTTTTTTTTATTTCACACTGTTTTCTTATATCCCGTAAAATAATTTAAATAGAAATTACTCCTTCCGTCTCATATCCTTTTTTGTGTTTGATTTTTTCACGATCTTTGATATAACATTTCGACTATTAATATTTCAATTATTAAATAAATATAAAATATAAAAGTATGGTATTATAAAATTACATTTCGAAGTAAATCAATTGATATTAAATTATACTATATTCAGTCTTAAAAACATTTCTTGTTTTGACTTTTTTAGTCAAATAGTGATACATTTAAACTATAAATTGTGAGAAAAATGTATTTAGTTATAATATAAACTCAATATAATTAGATTCACCTTGAAATATACTTTTGATATATCAAATTTTTATATCATTTATTTATTTAGATTATATTTTGATAGTGTAAATACAGCTGGGTGGATCAAAAATGATAGTGTAAATATAGATGAGTGGGTTGACCGAGTTTGACCTAGACACTCGACCCATAGTAAAATACATATAACAAGAACACAAAGTATGACCTAGACCGGGTAAATCTTCTCAGTCCGAATTATATTTCTTACTCTTTCTCAAGAGTGAACTTTTAGTGAGATAAACTTGGATCCCCTCCTCTATCCATAATCATCATATTTATAGAAGATGATTTGTGACCTTCCCTTGTTCATCTATGGACAAAACAAGAAGCTTGTGGGAAGGTCACTGTACATAATGTAATCACTATTCAATCAGTGATTTTAGTAGCTACAGGCCAAGACACTATTCAATCAAAGACTCTAAGGTGGATGTTCTCAATCCAATCAACCCTGCAAGATGACAAACATCCCTTTTACTGTATGCCTCGTGATGGATGAGCGGCTGGGTGGTCCCTGGCCTCTGATGCTGATTGTCATGCTTGAGAGGTTCGCCAAACATTAGCTAAGTAGGAGAATATGACCAATCACCTTTCCTCGAAGGTTGACCGGTCATTTCTAGAGCCCAACCCGTCTCTTTGGTCTTTTGGAGTGTCCTTCGCAACATTAGGTGATATTTTGCCTATCGCCAAAAATGTGACCGGTCACTTTTTGAGGAAAGTGACCGGTCAACTTTCGACCAGTCTCAATTGAAGAGTTTGTCTCATTTTGTAATTGGGAAAAGTGACCGGTCATTTTTTGACATGTCTCTTTCGGTTATTCGGGCCGGGTATAAGGATATATCCATCATGTTTAATCGGGCAGGTTCTTATGCCATTGGAAATTAAGGTCATGAGATGACTCAGAGGTGCTCCGGTGTCCCATTCGTAAAATTAACGGTTCCTAACCCCCATACCTACTCTGGTAATCTCAATCCCTCACCTCGCCCCGAGCTGACTCCCCTACTTTTTTCAATTGCACCCCCAAAGTAATTTTGACTTTGAGGTCTTTGAAAAAGGTATGAGAGTGTATTCGGCTCGAAGGTAGAAATCGTCCATTTTACGAATGGGACACCGAAACACCTATGAATTATCCCATGATATTGATTTACAATTTCATGAAAACTAAGATGATATTTAATTTGTGGTTAAAGAATGAAACCTAGGTAAGGTTTAGGCCTTCCTTAGTTGCCCTTCTCCTCTTCCGCTTTTTTTCTTTCTTCCACGGTTTTCTTCTTTCTTCTTCTCCTGGTCTCACTTATCTATCCATTACTCTCTTCATCTACCATCGCCGCACTTGGACGCACATCTTCATCTGCCATCGCCGATCTTCATCTCAGGTACGGTTTTTACTTTTTTTTGCTAATTATTGAAAGTAGGTATTTTTTTCCCGGTTTTTTTCAGTTTTTTTTCCTTTTTTGCAGTTTTCTTTTTGCCGTTTATTTTTTGCAATTTTTTTCTGTCTTTTTTTTCTGTTTGTTATTTGTGGTTTTTTATATGTATATTTGCTTTTTTTTCTGTTTGTGGAAATAGATAATTTGAAATTGATGCAAATGTATTTTTTGTTGTTTGTTGAAATAGAATGTTTGAAATTGATGTTAAAAAAAATTTCTGTATTTTTTTGTTGTATGTTGAAGTAGAATGTTTGAAATTGATGCAATTGTTTTTAATACATTTACCTTATAAATAATTATCAAAATATTATTTTACGTAATTAGAATATTATATAAATTTATGTATAAGGTCAATTCTGATTTGACGGAAGTCACTTTAAGAAACGAACAAAGAAAATCAAGCACAAAGGTATTTAAGTAATTTTATTGTTTTAACTACCTCACATCACCTAATAAATATCCAAACACAATTTTTCTACTAATTACCTTACTTTACCTACTTTCAATTATATACCTTCAATAACCTACAATTACCTACCTAATAAAACTTTACTTACGGTCCACAAGAGCCGCGGGACTTGAAATTCACAGCTATTCGTTTAGATTTGTTTGCATTGAGAATTCTCCATGTAAGAGAATGCGAACCACAAATTCACACGCACCCGTTTCGATTTGTTTGCAATTTTTTTCAAGCTTTTGCTTTTTTGAGGCTCAGTTTGGGAATGCAGAAAGGGATATGTTCTACATTGTTCTAAAAAACAAAGAACGGAAAAAATGGGATTTTTTTCTGTGAAGATTTGTTGTTGATTTGGTGCTTCTCTCATACGCTTCTCCTTCTAGGACATTTCTGGGATTTGTTTGTTTCAGATTATTTGTTTGTGTATGCTGTTTTTGTTTATTTTAGGTAATACTTTACTTTGAGTATTTACTTGGTTCTTTCATTATGTAATTGATTTTGATTCAATCTACTTTGGTGTTTATTTCACATCAAAGAGGACAAAAGAAAAAAACAGATATCAACTGTCCTCACTCTTGAGTGTTTATTTTCATTCTAATAGACAGACTGAGAATGGAATCCAAAAACGAGTGGATGGACACCAACATCCAATCCCCACTTGCAAAAGATCCGGCAACACCCCCGTCCTCCCAAAATTTGCGCCAGTGGAGACCAGCTGCACAGCGGAATCTCAAAAACCAGTGGTTGAAATTGGCTTCTCTATGGAAGGACTGGCTCTCTTCTTCCCCTACTGCTCGCTCCCACGCCGCTTCTTTAGTAAACTCTTATCTCTCGCAGAGGTAAAACCGAATAGGATGGGGAAAAGTACCACCTTTCTATTCACTGCCCATCAAATTCTGTTCCTTACACTTTTATCTTTTGTCCGTTAGAATAGAAAATAAATGAGTTCATGGGTATAGATACTATTTATTAGACTTCAAAGATGTAAATATGCATATGAAGTGCCACACTTCTGCATAGGTACATGGATGGAATGGAGTTTGGAGTTTTGAGTGAAATGCCAGAAATACGAAAGAAAGCATGCCACAAGCTATTCAAGCAGCAGGTGATTCTGAAATGGTAACACAGAAAGTCTGCATTAAAATATACGGAGTATATATTTTTGCAATGCATTTGAAGCCACTGAATCTGTTTGTTTTTCCTTCCTTTCTGTTTTACTCCTCAGGTGATCAATAAGGATCAGCTACTGTCATCCTACAAAACATTGGTATTTACGCAGAACCTGAAACACTTTTTCTGGCTCGCTACAATTAGCAATATTTTCTGATCAATTTCATAGCCAAGCAAAGTTTTCTTGGAAACTTTTTACAGTTAGAGCTGCCGCTGTTGTTTTTATTTTGGATCCTCTTTAAGGTGAAGAATGGCCACGTATTGGAATCTCCTTAATAGAAACTTGTTTTGTTATCGGTAGCTTAGGAACCCTTGTGTGGATGTACTGGCAAAATTCTTGCAGTGCGTGTTACCGGAGTAATTATTACCTGTATTGCATGTATGTGGAGGTGAAAACAATTTCTTCTTCGGAAGATGAAAAGGTCAACTTTTAGTAATCTTAATGTTTTATTTTAATCTTGAGCTCTAGAAGTAACGTTCCATCTGAAAAATACTCAATTTGTAGACATTGAATATTGAGAAAGTATTCAGATCGAAACAGTTAGGATGCCAAAAAGTTCAAATGAGTAACTTTTTTTTAAAACATGCACTCACATTGTTCGCATAAACCATCAACATCATCATGATAAAGTTTGAAGCCTTTTTTCTGCAAATATGCGCAATGATTTATTGTAGGAATGTATGTGTGAGAATTGTATGTTTATATATATACAGGTTGGGATTGTTACTCAAATGGTAAACACTTCAAGATCTATGAGGTGTTATCGCAAAGGGATGAGCAGCAGCCCAATTATACAGTTTGCTTGCAGCCCTTCTGTTGATAATAATCATCTCAATGACACTGGCGGTGATGGTGGTGGAGTTCCTGTGTTCACCTTTTTGCCAGTATCTTCTTTCGGTATCCCTCTCTTCTCTTTAAGTGCTTCAACCATGCTTGCACTGCATCAAATCTTCAATAAATCTCCGTTTAATGTTCGCCAATCATAACTTTGCTTTTAGAGTAAGAAAATTGATTTTAGCAAGTGAATGAAAAGCAGCGGACACTTGGTGATGCTGTTTTCTATTTCAGCTATTGCTTTACATCTCTCTCTCACAACACACACGCACACACACATCTCACTGTACATAAAGAGATAGTTCTTGATTTTTACTACCACAAAAAGTGAGAGTTTTACTTCTTTCCAGAGCAAATGGCAGAAGAGCTGGTTCGAATGCTAGAATCTGAAATTAACTTAAAGGTCAGCTGCCAATCTAGCCTTGAATTATATGAACCCCCTCCCCCCACCCTCCACCCCACCCCCAAACACACACACATCATTTTGTGAAGCGGGTTGCATCAAAGTTTTACATTAATATGCAGCGGTTACTTGTGATGGAATTATTCTCCATTAGTGACAAAGACAACTGCATGGATTGGTCAGAAGAGTTGTATCCAGGGGAGTTTGATGATCTCTTTATATGCGGTTTGTACACCAATGAGCCAATTTTCCCAAGTCACACAAACTGCAAATCAAACTCACCTGCAAATTCATCTAGTGATCAAGCAGAGAGGAATGTTCTCCAGGTACTGGTGGATTCACTCGATGTATATTCATAGCATGTCTGAAGTAATCCTGTTTTTTTAATCTTTTCATTTTGTATGGCCTATGAACAGGTAAACCTGCCATTTTTTTCATTTTGTATATTCATAACCACTACACCTTTCTTCTCCCGCCCTAATTTATTGTGCTTGTTTTCCTTTTTCACCCATCTCAAAATTTGTGTGCTTGTTTCTATCTATGGAAAGAAACATGTGGTTTGAAGTGTCTCTCCGATGCGATCAAACTGGGCACATTACATCGGGGATTCAGACGGAGGGAATATATAATTTGGTCTAAGAGCAAGAATGTTTGTTTTTTTCCTCTTTCCTAATTTTTTCAAAGCCAATTGTTTATGTCTGCCAAAAACAAAACTTAAAAGAAGCAATAGCAGATGGCTAAAACTAAACATAAAAGAATTCAACCAGAACAAAAATCTGCTAAAAATAGCTAACCAGAGGTCTAATTGCAGGTGTACTTAACAACATGGCTTGCAGAAGTGAAAATTGACAGACTCAGGTAATAAATAAAGAGAAGTATGGAATCTGTGGGCGATTTTCTTCAAAATGTGGACATCTTACAAATTTGTCCTTTGCCATAACCTATCATCTACACTTGTTTCTTTCAGGATTGATGAAATATTCTCTATAGTAGGAGAGGAAATGCATATCAGTCTCACCTGAGGAGCTCGGAATGATTAATTCATTTGAGATTGATTGATACACGATATGAAGAAGGTAGAAGACTTGTGGCCGGACAAGAAGAAATTAATGGTGTGTACATTCCGCCCGCAGATCCCTCCCCAATGATAAGTTGGTGTTCAACAATGTAAAGTTACTTTGTCTCAAAACAGCAGCTATTTCTACGACTCTGCAAAGTTTCGATACAGTAGTTGATTGATTGCACTTGGGTACTTGTTGAAAGTGATGATTCAAATGAAGATGAAAAGGAGGCTAAAAATACTGTTGATGCTGCCGCAACTAACTAGAGTGGCAGCCCTGATCAAAGAGACCGGCCTGGATCTTCTCGGAGTCGGAGTCGGAGTCAGAGTACACAGCTAGCTAGCTGGTTACCTTCAAAGTATTGTAGGATGAGAGTAACCAGGTGATCTCTTTGATCAGGGCTGCCTCTCCTTTTCATCTTCATCTCAATCGTCACTTTCAACACGTACCCAAGTGCAATCAATCAACTACCGTATCCAAACTTCGAAGCCTGTGGCAGAGTCGTAGAAATAGTTGCTGTTTTGAGACAAAGTAACTTTACGTTGCTGAATACCAGCTTATCGTTGGGGAGGGAATACGAAACACCCTGCGGGTGGAATGTACACACCGTTTATTTCTTCTTGGCCAGCCGCAAGTCTTCTACCTTCTTCATATCGTGTATCAATCAATCTCAAATGAATTAATCATTCCAAGCTCCTCAACTTCAATATTGTTCATCCTTCGGGCAACTAGACATGTTTTTGCAGCTCCTTCCAAATTGGGTACCAAGAGTTGTTGATTTGAACACAAGAATGTGACAATATATTCTCCATTCTTTTCAGCATCACATTGCTTTGTTCAGTCTTGATGTTCTTCACGGCCGGCATTTGATTTGCAGGAAGGAATAGTTCTGAGCAGGTAGGAACAGTGTTGGAACAATAATCTTAGGTTATGTTTGGTATGACTGAATTAAACGTGTCATCTAATGATTATCACACACATATGTTGTATTGAGTTAGTAGCGAAATCACAAAAACAAATGTATAACCTTTTGCTTAAAAAATTGATCAAAGCTAATTGACTTGTTTTTCTCTCATGTCTATAGTTCTATTTATCGTTTGCTCGTTGTCGTTTAAATACATGGGTTTGAGATACACATACGTTTACCAATTCATTTTTCATTAGCAAATTGTGATGGCTTGCTGAACTCAAGTGCCTCAAACAAGTACTACAAGATTTGATAGAAATTGAGATACGGAGTTTAAAAAGCGTGATTTTACTGTTCTATTAACATTTACTGTGATTTTTACGGAGTTTAAAAAGCGTGGAAGAGTGAAAATAGTGTAGTTAGAATTTGTTGAGCAGAGAAATTTTTCTCAGCTACCTATTTTCGTTCCTAAACAAAATGGTTTTATTTGGGACAGACAAACGAAAAGAAAAAAAAGTCATTGACGAAGAGATTAATTTTCCATTTGAGCCAATGCATTAGGAGCACCAGAAACTCAAATTGGGAAAAAATAGAGAAATACCTTTACAAGAAACTAAAAGAGATAGTAAGAAAATAGAAATACCACAAAATGGAAAAATAAATTCAAAAATAGAAAATAAAAGAAGTTAAAGAAAACGACTAAACCTAACAATGTAAGTGGATATCTCATTGCCTTGCATTAAAAATTTGTGTTCCATCATGTACTCCATTTAGATTAATTACATTATATATATATATATATATAGACACACACACACACACACACACACACACCAACAGACAACGTATTAGATGAAGCCAATGGGGTTGTCAAAATCTAAATTAACCATTTCGGAGCTTGTCTTTTAACTTCCAAATAACACTTTCCCCAACATAAATCTAGTAAAAGATGAAGCCAAATGGGGTTGTCAAAAGCACATCATACTTGTACTTATTTAGGCACCAGCAACCAACTTGCTTGAATTTTAAAATAATGTTTTCTTGCACTATTCCAAAAAAAACACTAAAACATAACATGCTGTGCAATAAAACAAGAAATCCAACAGTTCTAAAAGACGATAAATACTCCCCTCATGTTTCTAACAAACACCTGGCTTGGTCATTGTTTGTCATATGCTGCTTGCTTCTTTCAACACAACAAAGATTCCTGTCCTGCCAACGAGCCGCCTTCAAGATGTCTTTTTTACCCTTTCAAGTGAAAAATATACCAAAACTGCCAGTTCTGCTGCTCGGTGTCGTGAATGATAATGAACTTTTTTTACCAATAGTCCCCGCAAGAGCATTTCCCATCCTTGAAGTGATGAAAGCGCTTGTTGTCCCGAACAATCAGCTCCCTTCCAACAATTCTGGACATGATCTTGATGGCATTATGACAGTCGCCGCAGACGCGCAAGTTCTTGATGATACGCAAAGGCATCCTAGCAGGGGTACTGATCAGACCATATGCAATGGCCAAACGCTCACTGTGATAAAGCAATGCCTGTTCCTTTGCCTCTTGATCTATATCGTGAAGGACGTATCTGGTGTCTGGCACATACACCTGCTCTTTCATTGCAGCCCGCATTTTCTCCTCATCTTTGTACAGAGTGGGACTGCGAAATTCGACCACCCTACTTTTCCCCTCAAGCATGTTGACCAGTTGTTTCTTTGGAGGCGGCGGGAGGATCTTACCACCCTCAAGAGGCTGACCGGTTGCATCCCTCCATAGCTGCTCGGCACGGTCTTCAAGGTCAATGTCTCCATGTATCCGAGCATAATTCATCAATGCCTCCCAAACAGCACCAGTGGGCTCGAAAGGGAGTTTCTGGATAAAGTCCTCAGCCTCTGCGAGGTGACCACATTTTGCAAAAACACCCAACAGCCCCAGATAGTGATCGATTGTGGGCGAGATTCCATGTTCGATCTTCATGGACTCAAAGTGTAGGAATGCCTCATCTATTGCATCGGCACTGGCACAAGCCTCGAAAACAGCAAGGAAAGTCTGGTCATTGGGCTGAATCCCATGTGTCCTCATCTGCTCATACAATGACAGCCCGTCATCACCCAACCCGTTCCATGCGTACCCGTTGATCATCAGGTGCCAAGTGTCTATATTCCTATCAGGCATGTGATCAAACACCCTCCGTGCATCCACCATGCTCCAACACTTTGAATACATGTCAATGACCTTATTGTTTAAGAGAAGATCACTCCTGCATTTTGATCTCAAAAAGTGGTCATGAACTGATTTTGCATCCTCAAGTTTTCCTGCCTTTCCACACGCCTCGAAAAGTAAAGCAAAACAATGTGTGTCCGCAACAACACCCTTTTCCATCAATTCAATGGCATCCTTCACCTTACGACCACCTTCTTGGCACAATGACATAAAGGCAGCAGTAGATAAAGTATCACCAGAGGATGAAGTATTATTATGTGTAGTAGAATTGCCACTAACAGGTTGGGCATTTTGAGATTGCTGAGGACTCACTCGTTCCTGAGGTGCAAAGGTCCCACTCTCAGGGGGCATGTCATTTCGGATCTGGTTATTCCGCCCATGTCCTCCTCCGTATTGATGATGAATACCACCAGAAGATGCATTATTATATGCAGCACGATCACCACCAAGAGGCTGGACATTTGGCCTCCATCGTTCCTGAGATACAGCTGTACCACTCTGCGGGAGCATGTCCTTCCATTTCTGGTTGTTCATCCCTTGTCCACCTCTGTAGGATTGACTGATGACACCAGGGGGTGATGCATTCTTATATGCAGCATGATCACCACCAACAGGTTGGACATTCTGAGATTGCTGAGGACTCCATTGTTCCTGAGCTACAAAGGTACCACTCTCCAGGGGCATGCCAGTTTGGATCTGAATATTCTGCCCCTGCCCACCTCCATAGTGGTTATGGATACCACCAGGGGACGTATTATTATATGTAGCACGATCACCACCAACAGGCTGGACATTCTGCCTCCATCTGTCCTGAGCACCAGCTGTACCACTCTCCGGGGGCATGTCATTCCGGATTTGATTATTCCACCCATGTCCACCTCCATATTGTTGATGGTTACTCTGGTTCGGATTTTGATAACTTGGATACCCTCCTTGTGGGTAGTTCTGAAAAGAGTTATCAATGGCGGTTGACATATTCCGCCATTGGCGTTTGAAGGCTACCTCACCACAAAGATAAGCCCTGGTAGCTAGCATACACGTGGCAGTGCCATTTGTACGCCATCTCCACGCCATATTGCCATACATGAGATTTCCCTTCTGTCACACACAAAAGGAAACAGATTCGTCAATCCCTAATGTCCCAATTTTAAAAGTGAGAAAATTAACTATAACTGAAAGAAAATGAAATTGCACTGATAATCTAAAAATTCCAATAACAAAAACCACTTCTCTGTTTTTATAGGGACAATACCACATACATCTTGACCCTGGACCCCAACAACGTTGGGATTATACCAAGTAGAAAATAGTAGTTGTAATATAAAAATTTCAATATTATTTATGATGCAACGAGGCAAGAAATGTTCTCGGGGTCACTAATTGCTTCTTTGGCTCACAAATTATACTGTGTATATCGGAGCATCTATAATCCATAAGCATTAGTGCCACAGTGCTACCAACCAAATAAAAAACAGAAAGTGCTAGTGCAGTAGTAAAAATTCTCAGTCATTAAGTTTTACAGTTGAGTCTTATTTGAAAAAAAAACATATTTTTAAATTTTAATATGCTCCAGCTGAGTCAAACAAGCAGTGTTATAGTTAGAGGTTAAAACTTTTCAACTCCTGTGGGGATTGTTGTCTGCCAGTTTCACAATTTCATCTATATAATGCATATGCTGGCGTATGGCTTTCTACTGCACATACATTGTTTCAAACATCATCCTTAGGGTCCGTTTGGTATAAGGAATTGGTGGAATTGGAATTGAATTGGAATTGTAATTCCCTGGGATTCAATTCCATATAATTGAATTATGTCAATTTCTATTCATTTTTTGCACTATCAATTCCAAATCTACATAATTTTTGTGTTACCAAACACTAGAATTGGAATTGAAGTCCCCAATTCCAATTCCATAGTTTGAATTCCATGTACCAAACGGGGCCTTATGGAATTTGAAAACATAATCATTCTGCCGCAAATGGAAACCTATAAAATCGAAAAAATTGAAAGAATATAACAAACCAAACGTTTATCCGAACGCAAAAGTAAGATCAATAAAGTGGTGCCTCATGCGCATATTAAAAAAAAGAGCTCCTAGAAAATTTTTAGAGCCTTGTTTCGAATTTGGAATGCCGGCCATAGATCTTAAAATAAATTAACTGAGGATAAAAGGCATCTAGTGATTTTGTTCGATAGCAGGCTGGAAATTGAAGCAGATAATACTGAAATTGAATCGTAGAAGAAGAAGAAGAAATAAGACCTGGACTGGATTGGATATGGAAGAACGGAGAATCGTCGAATTGGAGGCCAGAGACGAAAAGGGAGCTTCTGAAATCGTGCGATTATTTCTGCCCTGGTCTTCTTCAGTCGAAATGAGGATGGTAAAGTTTAGGCCCATATATGCTGACGGGTCCAATAAGTAATTGCATGAATGTTGTAAAGTTTAGGCCCATATATGAGATCTTGATTAATATAAAGTTTGATTTTTTCGTATAAAAATATATTAGTTCAATTTGATTTTTTCTTCAGTTTGTGTTGCGCTCGTTCTAAAGTATACTCGTCAAGTTTATTTTTTTAATCTAACTAAATAATTTTGATCATTAATTAAATACAAATTATATTTCATATTAATACGGTGTATAAAAATTTCATTGTTTCATAAACTCTATAAAAATAAACCCCAAGAAAATTATTCTGGGATAATGAATATCACTTTGTGGAACTTTTGATACAATTTTTCTTTTTTGTATAAATAAAATGTGAGTAATTTAGTATTACTCGTAATATATGATGGGGGAGCTTTAATCACATTTATGATGAAAATATATTTATGACGGTCTGAAAATAAATTTGAATATGGTATACAACAACATCACCAACCTATAGGATTTGAAAGAGTGTAAACCTGACCCCAACTTGAAAGTATGGAATACTTCCAAAAGACCCAATTCTAGGAACACAAATGGCACAATCAAATCTCAATGTCAACAGATATTCATATACTCCCTTTTAGCTAAATTCCATGGTTAGAATATAAGAGGGTTAAAGAGTACTCCATTATACTCAATTTGACACTCATATTAACTCTACACAATTTCTTGTTGAAGAGAAGAAGAAAAAAAAAAGAGGGGGCAAACATTATAGCATTTCAAAGAATTATACATATGGACTACCGCATTTCTGTCGTCTCAATTACAACAACGATAACTCCCAATGGCCTAAAAGAGAAAAAGCTCAAAAGCCTATGTTGAGCATTACTAACAACCGAGCCCCCACCCGCCCCCCTCCTCAATGTAATTCCGTGACTCTGACTGTTTTATTTTTCCAATGGCCAAAAGTGACTTCAAGAACCATAACATGGGGCGAAAATACGTACGTATATGCACATTCTATCATCATCATAGTGAAAGACATTTAACCTCAGTTGGAAGATCTTCGGGGATTGGAACTGCAGTCACATATCTATGCGGCACAGCTTTATAAATGAGTGCAGCTGCTGCTGCTTCAGACGAAGAAGATGAGGCATTGTGTAACCGGCAATGGAACATCGCAAACCGGTTGATCATTGAGAACTTCTCCAGATCCAGGCTGTGCACTGCCAAATTTAACACCGACTCGCCGCTCTCCACCCTGCATCCAGCAGAAAAATTAAAGGAATAAGATAAAATGAGAAACAAAGTGGATAGAAGCGAGGGTATAATAGAGAATAGTGACATCAGGTGGAAATGAAAAATTTACAGTAATGGTTTTTAGATCATTACTTCAACAACTGGTCCTCTAGCTTCCTCTTTCTCATTTCAAATTCTTCCACAATTTTTGAGAAGTACTGATCCCTACTGCATTTGTCGAAGGGCCTACAGAATATTAAGACATATTATTGATAGTAAAGAAATTGAGCCACACAAGACATGATTCTATAACATAGTACTCCATCTGCCTCATAAAAATAATCATGTTTCACAAAGGGTTTTTTTTAAATCTAGTGAGGACAACTATTCTAGACCCTACTCGCGTGGGATTCAATTGGGCTGTTGTTGCTAGTGAGGACAACTACTGAAAACAATCAAATATAGATGGGACTGACTACATTCAACACTATTAATATGTTTGAAACACATTTATACTTTGTATAAGAAAACATTATATATGATGTAACACAGTTCTCTTTGTTCAATATGGTTCTTTTTTGGAATGAAAACAAAATCAAAATGGACTCCCTTTTTCTGGATAGACAGAGTAATATGAATCTTACAGCTCTTTGTCATCACCATCTGCCCTGTCCGTACTGGTGTACCCAATAAAGCAAGATACTAGACCACATGCACTGCCCAATGCCATTTTGGAAACCAAGTAGGCCACATTCTCAAACTCTGATTTTGAATCTGCTAAAAGAAATGATGCTGGTGGAGGGTGAAACAATTGCTGCATAAGATGGGTGGTCACGAAAAGCCTTCTTCTAGCTTTATGCTCTGGTGTTCCATCCCCCAAACGACTTTCTTTAACAGCCTTTCATTGGAAGATTCTTTCTTTTAGAACTAAAAAGATAGCTTACCCAAAATAATGCACAAGAGTACAACCAGCTAAAAACTGACCTTTTCAGTAATCCGGTTTGTTTCTTTTGCCCAATCTCTTTCTAAAGCACCGCCACTACAAGAACTTTCACATGTGTTAGGTTATATGATGATACACAAGCACCCACCCACCCACCCACACCCCCACCACGCACACACACTAGAGACACAAACCTCAAGTGGAATGGAAACAACAACCTGATACTCTTACGATTCTGCAACTCTTCGGAAACTTCTTTGTACCAAGGAACCAGATCTGCCGTAACACGCGTGCGCTTCTTGGGTCTTGGTACTGAATGCTGCTGATCAATCGTGATATTCACTGACAAAGATTGTGAAGAAGAAGCATTCTCAACAGGAGCAGATGTTAGGAGCAAGCTTTCCCCGACATTAACATGTTGGATTCTATCCATAGACTTATTTGCATACAAACTATTGTAAGTCTTCTCAATGGTGAGAGGCGATTCAGTAGCTTGCACCTCAGCAGCTCTCTGTGCCTTATGTACAGCCAATGACTGCCCGTTTTTACAGGTTCCATACCGATCAAACCAAGGCTGTGGAAACTGTGTGTGCTGCTCTTGTTTAACAGACAAATCCTCAGCAGAAACAGTTCCTTGATGATCGGTCCCGTTTCTTTCCAAATTATTCTCTGACCCAGACATGCTTAATACTCCAGAAGAATCTGCTGACTGGGGCGATGCATGAGATATCTGTTGACCATCTGGTGTTCTCATTCTTTTCAGCATCATATTGCTTTGTCCAGTCTCAATGTTTTTCGTGGCCCACATTTGATTTAGTAAAGAGTAATTATGATGTGAAAATTTATTTGGTTTCAGAGACTGACCAAAGGCTTCAATATCTCTATGCACTGATGCTGTTGAATTCATCAGAGTAGATACATCTAGTGGCTTCACTGATTTTATTTCTCCCTGAACAGCACTCAACATTTTTTCAGGATTTGAACCGACTTTGGACAAAAAAGTCCTTCCTTTTTTTACATCTTGATCCTCCCCCAGACTGTCTAGAGCAGAAGATAACGATTCCACAATATTCAATTCTTGTGAGCAAGGAAGTTGCAACAACTCCTTTCGAGACTGGGGAGAAGATGGGTGTTGTTGTGCCTGAGAGTTGACCAGCACAGTGTTCTGTACTTCTGAACAGGGCTTTTGAGGTGTTGAGACCCCTTCACTGAAACTAGTTGGCTTAGCAGTGTTTGTAAACGTAGCTAAGTTGGCACATTGACTGGTGCCAATCCCATCGTGTGAGAATATTCTAGCTGACCTGCCATGGGAAGATTCCACTTGACATCCATCTTTCTTTGTAAAATGTGGTGCATGTTTGAGAGAACTATTAATGGACTGATTTGCCAATGTTTTTCCTGTATCCATCTCTTGATTCTCAAGCGCACTTCTTGGGTATATATAACCAGAACTAAATGCTGATGAAGCTCTTCCACACATCGTATTAAGTGCAACTTCATTTGTCCCACTCCCTAGGACAGCAGATCTATTATTTATTAAATCCCCTTGGACTGTACCACGAGAATAAGGCAAAGAATGAACCTCAGATGGAGGAGCCACCTGTGCTTGACTGTTTTCACCATTTTCAATGGTAGAATGACTCACAGATGAGGAATTAATGGGTTGCAAAGAACTCTGAGACGATACTAAATGGGGTTTGACGGGGATATTTTGGGATGGAGGACCAAGTTGAAGACCATATCCTTGAGAAATCGATGAATGGCATCGCTGCAAGTGTGGAATAGACCCATTCAGATTTTCTGCTTCGGGTCCCTTCTGACACATCGTGGCACCAACTTCTTGGGATTGGTCCACTTTTTGTAGAAGTTGTAGCATGTTTGGGCTGCAATAACGGAACACCTCAAAATTATAGAAAAATGCTGCATAAGCAACTTTCTGAGATAAACAAAATTACTCCCACCTTCCTCTTTCAATTTTTGGGTTAGAGATTGTTTTCTTCCAAATAACTCCCAAGGATATAAATATTCAAGAGAGCATTAAATAATCATTTTCCACTATTTCCCCTCATCATCCATAAAACTGATAAAAGTTACATAGATAGAACTCTGAAATGCTTATATGACTATTCCAGTCAAATCCTTTTTTACGTAGACATAAAATTTTATTGCTTCCTTACAAGTTACAAAATCAATAAATGAATTTCATGTGTGTGACCGTGTGTGTGTCTGTGAGAGAGAGTGAGAGAGAGCATCAAAGGAAACATGCTCTTTACATTGTGATGCTTTAGATGTAGATCTAAGGGCTCAAAAATCAGGTAAAAAATACGGAGTAATTTTATAAAATGTGGTGGAAAGTTTTTTAACGAGTGCAACTTCAACTGCAAAGCTCACATAAAAGTGCACATCCTGGTATCAAAAAGTGCAAACGCGCTGCAATAAAAGTGCATCAAGATCGCCCCCGCAGCCACACCAACCCACAACTTTTATCAAGAAAATGAGGTCACTAAGGACTTTGCAGTTATCATTACAATCTTTAAGCTGTTAAGCAAAGTGCAAAAATGATCCAGCATCCAATTAAAACGACCAAGATGAATAAAAAACAATAGATGACACAGTCAATTAACATAAAAGGATCATCTGATTTTGATGACACACAATGAATATATTCACTAAATACCTAGATGGAGAATCGACATTAGGTGGCTGAACATCAACGAATCTATTCAAATGAGCAGACATATTTGATCCGGAGCTAAGGAAGAAGCTCTGAGGTTGTGCCTCAGCTGGGCCTTTGCCATCTCTTTGACCGCTAAATGACTGTCTCTGAAAATTTCATCAACCAATACTATCATAACAGAATTGGGAGCATACATTACATGCATGACACTGGAAACTAATTTTACCTTTCCCATTTCAACAGAACTCTTTTGAGCCTGAGAAGAATACATTGACTGGCCAAAACGGGCATTCTGCTGAGCCCTAGCTTGTTCGTTGGTATGTTTTCTCACTCCATGCGGAGTATCTACATTTTCATTCAGGTTTCCCATAGGGTGATACTGAAATTTTCGAGTAGACATTTCTTTTCCAGGCTTTGAATCACTAACATCAGACAGAGCATTTTCCCTCAAACTACCAGTAGATGTGTGGTAGCTATCACTGGAGTTCTCTTGTTTGACTCTGTTTTCGGTCTCAAGAGCTTTAACTTCTCTAGATGAGGGCTGGAATGAGTTGAAAATCTGGTTATTCCTGGCGATACTAGACTGTGATCCCACAAAATCTTCACTTCCTTTAAACTTAACATCATTTGTGTTCTTCCAATAATTAATTTGAGAACTGGTGGAAGGAAATGGATTGGATTCGTCAGCACTCATTGCAGGACTAAAGATCTTTGAGTTGACATGGGCATTAACAACAGATGGTCTACCAGGCTGCAAAAAATCATCATGAACATTCCCAGTCCTTTGTAACAAATCCCCATCCAGCCACTTCCTTTCTTCCTCAGACAGTTGAACAGGTCTCTGAGAAGAACTTGCTCGTTGGCCATGGTCATGTTTGATTGGAAATTTATATTGACCAGACTGCTGGAAACCTTGGATATTGTCATAGCTGTTATTGTTCACATTAGTACATTCAGAAGGGTGAACAGTCTCAGAATTCAATGAGGAAGAAAGCGGCACTCTTCCTTCAGCAAATGAATTTGGCTGTTTACCACTGTTTTTACGTGTTGAACTATTATGATTCCCTGAAGGAACTTCAGTAAGGTGAAAGTTCAAACCACTCCATGCATCCCGTGGTTGTACATCAGTACTAGAAGTCTCTGCAACGGATTGCATGAGAGCACTCCAAGTACCACCTCGAAAGGAAGGATTCTCATTGAGCAGACTGGCACCATCAACTGAATTGCAGGCTTCCTCCTTCAGATTGGTGCTCTTGCCAAAGGCAGCCCATATATTATCATCTGAACCGAACAATATTTGTTCTTCAGTAGGATCAAGAGCAACATCATTGTTTGATGAAGCTTTAACTGCTGTCCTCTCCAGCGAAATAGGTTGCGGCCTCAATTGGAATTCATGTGCAGTTATGCTTCTTTGCTTAACATTCTCTCGCTGATGGTTCTCCATATTAATCATACTGTTTAAAGATTCTCCATGAGCATTTCCAAATAAATTTTCACATTGAATTTTCTGCTTAGAAGTGGGTGTCCTGTCCTGAGCCGCAAAATAATTATCACCCGGGAATGAATTATTAAAGGAATTTGTTTGTTTGATGTGTGTCCTATCTGTCATTGTTTGGGGATATTGGGTTGCACCTGCTTTTGAACTAGATACAGGAACTCCGTAAAGAGATTGGTCGCTCCGCTCAGGATTCAAACTCATTAAATGTTGTCCTTGACTGTGATTAGTAAAAATGAGACCATTGGAGGAGGATCCCTGAAATGCTGGAGAACTCCGCTGCAACCAATTTACAGTACTAGTTTCAGCTGCCCCCCAAGGATTATGTGGTACTGAACTTCTAGTGTCGTTGACGAACGAAGATGAGTGGGCACTAGATGTCGCTTTAGAAAAGAGTGGGGTCAGGTTTACATTACTCTGCTGCATTGCATTCTGTTGCTGTTGTCTCTGAAGTTCTTGCATTCTCATCAGCACCACATGTTGTTGCATGTCATTTAACCCAGACTGAGGTTGTGAAATGTTTGATTGATGATGGCGACTCAATTGGTGTTGACTCCCAAAAAGATCAAAACTACCCTGAGATTCAGAAGCTTTGGACTTAACAATTTCATGGGTCTGATGCTCACGCCCCAAACCTTGTGGTCCATTCCCAGATGTGCCTATTGAAACTAAATCAGGTTGACCAGTACCAGTATTCACCGAAAGACATTTTCCTTCTTGCTGTGTCCGATAAAGATGTCCATACATATAGTCATTATAGTTTTGCTGTTGGCTCTGCAACAGACTCTTGGAAGCCTCATGCCTAGGACTGGGTTGACTGAAATCCATGCCATGTGGACCACTCAACAGATGACTGTCAGGTCCTCTCCCAGAATCTACTGCTAAAGCAAAAAATATAGAGACAATTACATTCTCGAAGAATACTACAATCAAAAGGAATCTTAATTCCTTGCAGTTTAAAAAGACACTTGTACACCAATAGGCTCAGCAATCAAGGAAATTTGCAAAGATGGATTCATAGAAAAGCCAAGCAGTGAATAGCATATGCATCTTACAGTTTTCACTGTTCAGAAAATGAGGTGTACATTTTTTACCTTTATTTAAACAAAAATTGTTCTTCTCAATAAGAACCCAAACAATTAATAAATCAACTTGACCAGTACATGAAGCAAAATGATCTGAACTTCATATTGCCTCACTAATAGATACTTTCGTTTTCTTGCCATAAATATTGAGGTGCTCTTCACTAGTCACTAGAAAAGACTTCAATTCAATTTAAAAAGCCATAAATACCTGGCTGCTGCAAGTTGTAACTTTTTGTGTTGGGACCCTGTACACTATGTGATCTTTGGCTTCCAAAGGCATGATTATTCAGAGCTTGCCAATTCCCATCCAACACCTGTGCCTGATTCTGCCCCTGTGAGAAGTTCTCTTGTGCAAAAAAATTGTGGAGTCTATCTCCAAATTCGTTGCCAGGCATTGATGACGTTTAAGTCCAAAATATTTAGCCCGTAGTTAACAAACTTAGACCAGCTGAGTGAGATACTAGTAATGTCAAAAACTGATTTTCTGAAATTGCAGAGAAGTATAAATCCTAATTCATGCATAATCACATCTGAAATCCCAATTTTCTTGAAAGAGAAAATGCACACCCAGCTTCCTTGCCTCAAGTTTCTGCAAAAGATGCATAACAAATGGTAAAACGTCTTTAGTGGAAGTGGTCATAATTAACACTCCTTCCACCGTTAAAATTTTCACTTTACCTCCCAGCACAAACTTATGTTGAAAGTCAACAACGGCGACGACAACACTCCGTTGGGGTGTGGCGGGTCAAGATATACGCAACCTTACCCCTTAGAAAACAAAGAGAAATTTTAGTTAGACCCTTGATGCATTGTTGCATTTACTGTGAAGAACTTCACATAAAGTAAGAAGCAAGAGAAGAAATGTGTCATTTTGATTTACTCCACTATCATCCGTAGCTAAAAAATTGTCCAAAATGTTTTTTTACACTGCATTGGCAATGTGGCCAGCAATCCCCGCCCCCTCAATCGTACAATTTGTTACAACAAAACAATAACAACCCAGTTTGATCCCACAAGAGTATGGTCGGGAAAGGGTGTGTGTACGGAGACATCCTACTTGTGTAGGCAGAGCTTACCCTACTTGTACAATTTATTACACTATAAAAATAGTCAGTGACAAAATAACGTGGGTCTTACATGATCTCCGATATGGCAAACCTTACATCAATTTCTTGAGCCACCAAAATGCATTATGCTCATGCACTTGGTCAATCATGTCTTTCTTGATAAATCCAGCCCAATTAAATTCCTAGTAGTTCTAAAGTAAAACATTATGTGTATTGTTCTATACCATGTTCATAATGTTACATCTGTAGCTCGTGACATGTGTGGTTTGAATCTGAGTTGTTAGTGTTAGTATGTAACTATGTATGATTCATTTGTATGTGCTCTTACTTTGTTCATACTACTATGTTTACTTTATTTATTCGTGCTACCATGTTTGAGTCAGGGTCTATTGGAAACAGTTTCTTAGTCCCAACTAGAGGTAAGGTCTTTGTACACACACTCTACCCACACCTTATATTTTATGAGATTTCACCTGATTTATTGTGTTTGTTGTTCTTCTAGTAACATATATGGAATATTACTATTTCTAAATGCTACTCCTTCGTCCTATTATTTCTGTTTATATTTACGTTTTTGTATGTCCCAAGACTTTTGTCTCATACGGAGTATCATACTTGGTTATATTTTTGTGATTCATATTATTCTAATTTATCTTACATTTTAACATCAATATCAAACACACAATCTTACTTTTGGTATGTCCCAAAATAGTGGGACGGAGGGAGTATTTGGTATGTGCTGAAGAATATGATGTAGTTTCTATTAAAGTGTTATCAGCACTTTCCTTTTCATTAGTAAACATTAAATTCATAACATAAGTGGCCATCCATGTCATGAAAGGATGTGTAATACTTTTGGGAATAATTCCAGGAAAAAAACAGAAACAGAAAAGTAAAATAAATGGAAGCAGAAGAGCATTACTTAGAGAAGCTGACAATAACCTAGCAAAACGAACCACCTTTACGGATCCGCAACAGAATTCATCCACCCAGGCACTGCCCAGCTCTAATTAGTTAATCCTTCTAGATTCTTAAACCCACATCAACTCAGGTGAATAACGCCTTATCCCGGAAAAGAAACGAAAAACAAAAATCTAAGAATATGAATGTAACTCTTGCGCAGAATCCAAATTCATGAGATAAAATCACAAATCGACCCCTAAGTCAATCACAGAACGCCACAGGAAGGCGTTGATTTCTTCGCACCGCATCTACGAAGGCTCGAAACCAGGCGGAAATTCGGCCCATAGAATGCTCAGCAGATCACTAATCTGGCGCAGATAGTTTTAGGGTTCATGAGTGAAAACGAAAAACCAATTGAAACGGGTATGCATACCTGACCAAAACGTCGAGCTGGATATCAATGGAGCTTTCAATCGATCCGCTCGGCGAATTTAGGGTTTTGAAATGGCGAGACAAATAATGGGGAGCTTCCATGGGAAAGGGAGCTGTGTATATGCGACAGTGACAAAGACAGAGCAGAGAGAGACTTTTGCAGGGAGAAAGATACTCCCAAATCAAAATTAAAATTACTACTAAAAAATAATAAAATAAAAAACTAAAAATTATTGCGGATTTTTTTATTTCGGTTCGGGTACCGAGCCTGAGGTTCGGCCGCGATTTGATCGGAAACGGTTGGCTAGTAAGGTCGTTTTACGAGCAATTATGATCCACCGAACCAAGTACATTACTTTTACTAATCGTTTTTTTCGCAATAATAAATAAATATCCGAAACGAATTTGGTTGTTCGAATAAATATTCAAATAATAGATTAATTTTCCCTCCAACAAATGTCGGTGTGCTCATAAGAATGGTGGGAAAAAATGAACAAAGTACTCCCTAACGTCTATTATTATTTTAAACTTCAATTAATATTTAGTATTTTGAATAATTTTTTTAGAAGTGTAGACTAAATTTGCAAACAATTAAAATTATTCTTGACGACAATATAATATTTTTAAAGATGGGCTAAAAGCGGTTTAAATTATTTGACTGAAATTATTTTTTCATTTAGTTTAATTTAGAATTAGTGTAAATTTAAAAAATAAATTTATATATTTAAAACAACATCCAGAATTCTATAAAATGAGAAATGGTATTACTATATTATTTTATCAAATAAGTAACAAAAAATAATTATAATTAAACTATAAAAATAGTGAATGTATAACTTAAATTTAGACCATATTATTGCTTGGACGTGTTGGGCATTGTGGAAGGTGCGGAAGTCCATGGGTTGGGAGCAACGAGTTCCGCCGCCAAGAGCGACGTAACAGTTAATGCTAACTATAGATGGCGAATGGACCTGCATGTTTAAAGGAGTGCAGCAGCAACCGATCATGCCACAGGGGTAAGCCCCTCATCTGTTGGACTAACGGTGTTTTCTTACAAGATGGTTGCACTTCTTTTGGGTGGGTGCTCTTTTCACTGCTCTTTTGTGGCGATGACTAATGGCAGAAGAGATGGGTCTCAAGATTCATTTCTGCAGAAGTTATTGCTTGTAATGAGGCGCTCTCTTGGTTGAAAATGAAGGACTTGTTGGACGTAAAAACTTGTTCCAATTGTGAGACTCGTGTTCGTGTTCTTAAAAGGGGGGGGTCTAATGGCTTGTTTTCTTTTGATTTTAAGACTAATAGTGGTTTGGAATTGTAGAAAATTTTTTATTGTGTTTTTTATCTTTGTTCGTCATGAACCGAGGAAGACGGCCCATAATTTGGAGAGAAGTGTTATGCCATGTCTCGCTTTTAAGAGTCTGTTCCGCCAAACATCGTTTCTCATTTGTTTTCTAGTTAATGGAATCATTGTTTCTCCTAAAAAACTTAAATTGAGACGGAGAGTATACGATTTTTGCAATAAATCAAATTACTTCACATTTGTTTCGATTCTTTGCAATTTACAACCCCATACGTCTCTCAATTTCAGAATGGATTTGAAGTTACAAACAAATAAAATTACATATTAAAATACCAGATCAAAAGATTTACAAAATTAATAGTGACATAACTATTTAATTTTATCAAATGACTACTGAAAAAAGAGGAAAAAAAAGTGAACAAAATTTGAACATGTAAATAACAAAGAATGTTATTTACATTCTTTGTTTGTTTGTTTCTCAACAAAGAATGTTTTGTCCCTTTGATTTTTCAGTAAGATTGGACAAAACAGATTCTAATGATCAATTTCATAAAAAATTGTTCTATATATTACATATGTATACAAAAAAAGATTATTAAATTTATCGTATAAATTATTTCAAAAGATTAATGCTAAAATATACGGAGTAAAAATCAAAGTTATTTAGCACTAGGGTGGTTGCCAATTGCCATTGCTCACCAAGTTTCTTCATCTTCTCCCCACCAACAAAAGAACTCACAAACAAGATATGGATGTAAAATTTGCCTTTGGTGACAAAATTGGGGTCAAAATTATTCATGATCTCTGGCATTAATTTTAGCATTTGTAACGGCTATAAATAGTAAACATTGATTTAATTACAGCGATCCAAAACGGATCTCCGTGACCAAAAACCAGTGCAACTTCATCTGTGTCCCATCTCAGTCACTAAAAATACAATTACAAGCTTCTTCAAAGTTCAAACGATGCCAAAATGTAATATAAGTACTCCGTGGCATATAACAGCAATGGAAACTTAACAGCCCACTTTGGTGACTAAATTACAACACTGATGCTGTTATAGGCGATAGAATACGAAGATTAGAGGTGTTGCTCTCTTGGATCTGGCAGAAGCCGGTGGTGAACATGACTACTTGAACCAAAAATAACCTTAGTGACCTGATGCAACAAAAATGGATGGGTTCATAATTTCTAAGTGCATATCAGACCATAAAGTCGCAGCAGAATTTCATGCCAAGAGCCATTTCTATCTTCTTTAGTTTTACACAAAACGGGGAAAAGTTAACAAACACAGAGTAAAGAAAAAAGCATATAGTTAATAACAATGAAAAGGTTACCCATCATCATCCACAGTTATGAAAAACTTATTTGGGTATAGGTTTATATATTCGTAAAAGAGCAGTAGAACAATTTGCCACTTATTGTTTGTTACCAGAAAGCAAGCCAGTTGACGTAAGAAAGCGCAGTGCTTGGTTGGAGTTGTTTAAAATAGCAGATGATCTTTGAACATGCATCTTCCGTTTCTTCAAAAAATCCATGGACCTATCCAAGCACGGAGGAGGAGGTATCTCTTTTATAATTACAGGTTTTAGCCTGCGCAGTAAGTTCACAAACACAATATCAATATTTCTGTGTGTTCAGAACACAAGATTGCTCAATTGAGAAAAGGGAAAGTAAGCTAACCCAGATTTCTTTGGCCTTTTCTTTTTCGAACCAGTACTTTTCTTAGGTTCCTCTTCTTCGGAGTCTGATGAGAAAACTTTTCTACAATCAATAAAAGCAAAAAATGATGTCCCTCTTCATCATCAAACACGGTCGGAAAGTGAATAAGAGTTTCTACTACACATATTTCAAGGATGAAAAATTACAACTCACTTTTCACGAGCCACCAGCATTTGTATGATGCTATCAGGTAGCATTCCTCCTCCAGTAGTAATACCTTCAGACTCCTCATGAGGCTGAGGTTTAGATTCTGTTTCATCTTTCGCGGCTTTCTTGTTCTGTTTAGGCCGTGGAGTTAACTTCTTGGCCCATTTTCTGCGACGCTCTTTTGCTTCGCGAACAACTCTACATGTATTGAGAATATTTCATCAATCAACAATCGAACCATAAAAACAAAACATTGTAGCTTAGTTAAGCATGTGAGATCAAATCAGTTTAAGAAGTATATTGGGCAATGACTACCATGACAGGAAACTTGGCCAAACAAAACTAAACTTATAGTTTCTGATACCATGTTACATGTAAATAACTATTGTGATAGAATCACCTTTAACCAATCAAAATTATCTCAAACTCCTTGATCCAAGCACCATAAATAGCAAATTCTACTAGTATGATTTGTAACTTGCCAGACCTAAGCCTCAAAAGTGAAAAACTGTTTCAATAATCAACATTTTCTCATTAACCGCTCAGAATCCACGCTTACAGTTGAATATGTTGGTAGAATCATGAAAAACCAATAGCAACTGCTTAAAATCTCATGATTCTAAACCAAATTTCTGTTTTTTGGAGTTCGCACAATAAGAAAAGCAAATGGAGACAGTTATGAGGACACATTATACCTGGCCTTGCTGTCTCTTTCAGCTTTGATAATCTCCTCGTTTTTCTCAATGCCCTGAACGGCCGTGAATTCCTCGGGAGCGTCGGAGTCGCTATCGTCTCCCCGTCCGGCCATGGGGATTTATTCTTCTTCTTTACTTGACCTGTACAAATTCGGAGCTTTGGAAGATCGTAAATGGCATCGGCAGCCGGCAGCACTTCCAGCGGTCTGTTAGTGTGGGCTAGGCTTAGGGTTTTAAAGTTAAACAAACGGACAATAAGCCCGTTTTGTGATTTGGGCTTTAAACCCCAACACTTTTTAAACTCAGTAAGATCAAAATTTATTTCAAACAGATCAGAGTATTTCACATTAGGTGAAGTGAACATGTTTTCTACCATTTATTTTTATTTTTTATTACTATTTACGGAGTATTTTTTATTGAAATTAGGTCAAATCAAATTATCATATGAGATGATATTAGAAACATGTGAAATTTGCACTAAATAGTACTAAAACATAATGACTTTTCCAATGTAGGACTTAAACTTTTTTATTCCCTAAATAGGACTTAATAATGACCTAGTGGGAGGAATAATGTCCAGAAATGATGGACATTTACTTGAATAATGACTACTTTATAATGACCAAAGGTCCTACATTAGGAAATAAAAACATATGGTACTATATTGGAAAAATCATTATGTTTTAGTCCTATTTAGGTAAATTTCTCTAGAAACATCTATAAAAACATATCCATGGTTTATACTTCGTAATACTTCCTCTGTTCCCAAAGAATTACCTTCTTTGATTAACGTGCAAAACTTCATAACTTCTAAAATGATTTATTTACAAATTGGCAAAGAAATAAAAATTTTATATTTAAAAACTACATAAAAAATTCTACACAATAAGAAGTGACAAGAATATTTTATTTTATCAAATGATCAATGAAAACATATAAATAAAATTTTTGAGAGATCGTAATAATAAAAACATAATTCTTTGAAGAACGGAGGAAGTAAAATCTAATTAAGTATGGTTTAAATAGATAAGTAACTACTCCGTACAACGTAACACATCTTACACCTTTTTTTAAAGGGAGTAATTAGGAAAATGAACATAAGTGGAATGATTATACTTACCTCCATCCGAAATAAAATTTTATATCTTAAATTTTCCAGTTACTTTTTTACACATTTTGATCACTATTCACTAACAATTATAATTTCATACAAATAAATAAATGTTACGAATTATAAAAATTTGATATATCAAAACTATATTATTTTAGAATATATAAAGAACTCACAATAGTACGGCTTTAAATTGTACGTAGTATATTATAACTAAACATACTAAACATACCTTTTTTATTTTTCACAAATTGAAATCAAAGTGTAAACTCCAATAAATATTTTTATCACATCTTATTTTATACAGAGATAAACTTTTATAGTTTTAAAAATGTAATTAAGAAATCACTCTAAATAGGTCTAATACATAGAGAGAGTATCAAAATAAAAATTTCATGTTTTTATTCTCTAAATAGAAGTTCGCATTGTACTAATGTGTCATTGTACATGTGCATTTTACGTAATGTACATGGTCATGATTGATAATCTAAATACATTTTAACTCATATTTTGAAAATATAAACATGAAAATCCTAATTAGTTTTAACGTTTTGAATATTTTTAGTGGTTCATATTAACTTAAATATTTTTATTTTTAAAATGTTGCATGATGAGAGGCAAGCTTTGCTTGGGAATATCATTTCTAATTAGTGCTAACGTTTTGAATATTTTTAGTGGTTCATATTAACTTCAATATTTTCATTTTTAAAATGTTGCATGAGGAGAGGTAAGAGAACCCGACGTGGCCCCACCTCCGACAAGCATCAGTTACTGAGTACGAAGTACCCTCTGTCCCAAAACGATTGCAACATTACGCTAAACGAAGCAAATTTTGAGTTTTTTTAATTCATTCTATTTAAATATTGGTATAGAAATAAAAAATAAAAGTTACATATTTAAAAACTACGTCAAACATTCTGCAAAACAAGAGATGGAAAAAATATTCTACGTTATCAAATAATCAATGAAAATATGAAAATAAACAAAAGTTTCGATGATTTTTGAATAATGAAGTGTTGCAATCTTTTGGAGAGAGAGGCATTAGTATATATATAGCACGTTGTAGGTACTACATACATTCCCAGGTGTGGCCTATTTAGCCATCCATAAAAATCCCTCGATCAATCACACTACTAACAAGCAATAAATTATTAATTACCCATTTCTGCAGAGAATATATAATATCCTCATTCATAATCAAACGTTCAAAACTCCATCGATCTGTATATATAGTAGCAGCTGGGAGCTGAGGCATACCATTCATGGGGGCTTCTTTAGTGTTATTTGCAGTACTGGTCTTTGTGGCCATGGCTGACCACTCAAGTAACAGCTCTTCTTCTTCTTCTTCTTCTTCTTCTTCTTCTATTTTGCCTTAATCTGTATATATATTTTGCTTCTATCCCTTGCATAGTCGCGTTTTTCAACTTTGAACAGTTTTTATGGGACGGATGAAGTATCAGTTTTCATCTTTTATATATCTTCTTTTTCGGACATATTGTATCTTTGCATAATGTTTCCGGTGGTCGGAAACCCTATCCCCAGTGGCTTCTTCCCGGACCAGCAAGATAGTTATATTAGAGTGGTGTCCTAGTTATAGTTCATTCTTTCAAATAAAAAGTAAGATTTGTCTCTGATACGTGCAAAGCCAGCGAGGCTTCATACTATATATAGTACTACATGATACATAGACTTTTGATGTGCATGCAACACATATATGGATGGGCAGGTGGGACGACGGTGACGACCGCGCGGTGGTGCATATGCCAGGGAGGGAATGCCGCGGCGCTGCAGAAGGCGCTGGACTACGCGTGTGGGGCAGGGGCGGCAGACTGCAGCCCCATCAAGCCACAGGGGCAGTGTTACAACCCCAACAACCTCAGAGCTCATTGCAGCTACGCCGTCAACAGCTACTTCCAGAAGAACGTTGATGTTCGTGGCTCATGTGACTTCGCCTCCACCGCCATCATCACCACTTCTGATCCCAGTAAGCTCCATCTCTCCCCATTTCTATATACTCCCTCCGTCCCGTTTTAAATCGCATGTTTTGATTTTTGGACATATTTAAGGAAAAGAAAAAATAGAATTGATTTTTCAAAATTGTCATTACTTTTTAGAAGGGGTGACTATAAATTAGAAGATAATGTGAAGAAGAGTGACTTATTTTAGGGGTAGTTTAGGTATTTTATTTTTAAAAGTTTACGATAACAACTAACACGCAACTTATTTTGGGACGGAGAAAAAAGGCAAACAGACAATTTAAATTGGGACAGAGGGAGTATGTATACACACACACACACATAAAATACTAATTGTCTCATCATAATTATCTTTATAAGTATTATTTAATCATTTTCTGCTACGGGTTTGTTTTTATTTATTTGCAGGTGTAGCTGGATGTGTTTATCCAAGCAGTGCAAGGTAATATTGGTAATTAAATTGAGTGAAACTTTTAATTTTTGGGCCATGTTTTGTCACTAGTCTCTTTTGACTGATTCTACATGACACTTACCAACTTTTAATGGAGTACAATACTATGGACATTCAAATTAAAGGGGACTCTTCACACACATCCCAAACACCCTAATTAAACATTTCTTAGTAGTACTGTAATAAATAATTAGTGAAACATCTTTTTTAAAAGAGTCTACTTGAAACTTGACTAGGTAAAGTTGCAGGGGACTTGCAGAGTTGTAGTGAAGGGTGGCCCCTCTTGTGCACTTTACATGTTAGTGGGATCCAAAGCAGAATAAAGATTAATTGCTCCTTAACTCTTAAGTTTTAAGTTTTCCTTTTTACCATTTTAGATGTCCCCAAAGTTGTTCATGTTGGTGGGGGCATAAAGGTAAATGAATATTGGCAACTAGTGTAGTGGTGTTCTTTCACCATTGAAACTGTAATTTGCAGGTGCAAAAAGTCCTGTCCAATTAGTGCAACTCAAGTTATTAGATGTCTAGAAAGTTAATGTTTTTTTTTCTCAAATGGTAACAATGGGTAAATTGTGGTCTTAATTTGGGGGTTCATTTGTACACCAGTGGCACAGTCACATCTCCAACAACAGCGGGTCCCGTTACTAAAACCCCGTCGAGCGGAATGCCATCCACCACCACCAGTACAGGCGGCGCCACAACCATGAGGCCTCCTACCACCAGTGGTGCTCTTGGAGGCGGTGTCAACACCACCACACCAGGTGCTGGTTCAAACAACGACGTTAGCCACAGCAGCATTTCTCTGCAAGGGACCTCAGCACTACTTCCCTGCCTTGCCGCCCTCATAACCTACGCAATGCTGCTGCAGTAAAAGGAACAACCTATACTACCAATTATGTATTTCTTTCGCTTCTTTTTTCACCGGTTTATGTACCTGTATACCGGTATATCTGTACTAGGTTAATCACAGTAGAGCAATGTGATAAGATTCTGTGCTTTTTTTATCGCTGGATGTGTATTGCTTCGTATTTACGCAAGTGATTTTGTTGTGATTCTCTTCCTATTCTTTTTGCTTATGATCTATTCTTATTTCAATCATTTCCAAAAATATTCAAATTCAACCAGTACAGTGTTAATCATTTCCCAGCTCAAGATGTAGGTATGGAATGTCAATAGTGCATTCAATGAATCTTTTTGTGCACAAAGTGCACACCAATCAAAATTTGAACCGCACGGACATAACTCATCTGTGTCTCAGATGAGTTGTATTCTTTGTGAAACAGACAAGTTATATTTGTATGGTGCAAATTTTGGGTTTACATCTAGCAAGGTTGATAATGCATTAGCATAAGATGTTAGCAGTCAATCTTTAACAAAAAACTACACACCATCGGATTAATAGGATCAGATGGTAGTGTGACTGCAACGTCTTTCTAATGAGGGAGTGAGAATGCTTTACTAGACCTCTTGTAATGAAGAATCTTTTTTGTCGACTGATACGCTACTAGAACTTCCCGCCAGTTTGCTGGAAGAATCTTTTTTGTTGAACGTCTCTCTCAGCAACTCTACAGCCATGAAGGTGAGAGCTGATGCTGGGATGTACCATGTAATTCTAGGGATGCTGCCTCTGAACATCCCCCTCAAGCCTTCAGTCACCCATATCTTATGAACTGCGTCAGACCAACCACTATACCTGTTGGAATACCGCAAAAAAAATCAAGATATTAATGAAATGATGGTCAGCAAAGTTCACAATGTTTTACTCCGAATCATTTACACTGTGTTTGGTTCAAGGAATTTGAAAGGGAAAAGAAAAGAAATTAAGATTGAAAACAATTTTACTTGTTTGGTTAGAGAGGAAAAGAAAAGAAAAGTGGATGGAAAAAAAATGAAAATGTAAAATATACTAAGAGGAGGGAAAACCAAATTCCTTTCATTTTGGTGAGGAAAATGAGAGAAATTCATTTTCTTTTCCTTTCCTTCCTAATTCCTTGAACCAAACATATTGTTAGGGATAAGAAAATGGATTCATCTAGAAGCCATGTTTTAGGTGCCTTCTCAAAATGGTGACAAATGTGGATCCAGAATCCATAAGCTGATAATCATAGCCTCTCCCTAGACATTACTGTATTTTCCCCCAAAAACAGATTTTTAACATGATATTAAGGGTGTATGTGCTATTTGCACTTTCACAATATACTTCGTAGAATGAATAAAAATAATAAATGAGTTCAATGATGTAAGAAAATAAGAACTACCTTATTGCTTTCCCCTGTACTTGTAATCTTGTTTTTACAACATCGAAGGGTGTGGTTAGATATGCACTTAGACCTGTAGCGTAAAGTGAAATCAGACTGAAACATCAGTTACATTGTTCTTCACAATTCATATGAAAAAGATAAGGCCCGTTTGATGATAAGACCATGAAATGCATACCCCCAGCTAGTCCTCCCAAAAAAAGCCCCTCCACAGAGCTATTCAGTTGAACATCTGAATTGGGAAACAATTTTTGTTTCCCATATACTGTCATGTTTTTGAAGGCCTCATAGAAAGTAACCTGCAAGGTGAAAATTAACAGTTCTAAGAAAAGAAGTAATGGAATTATAAATTTCACGTGACTAAACCTGCAAGATTCCGTAAATTCCTTAAAACTTCTTCCCTCTCTCTCACGATCTAAACGCAGCCCAATATCCTCACTCTTGGTCAAAATCTTTATACTTGAGTTCATTCTTCCCTGCGAGCTACTCCGTATGGTTCACAATAACTTAACATAGTTAACAATTGTAGTTCTGGAGGAACCTTTTTGTTTCACAATTTATATCATTTTATGAAACCAATATAGTACTCAATGTATATTTATTTACTTTTCTCTCTTTACACCCTTGTATGCAAATCTAACTTCCAATGATATTTAAATGTTAGTAAGAACTAATATTGTAAAGTTTTTTCCCATTAACTACCTTCTTAATCTGTATGATCTCTTTCAAAACAACTCTTATTGTGAACCAGTAGAGTACAAGACAACATCCCGCAGAGCAATACAAATGTTTTAAATAATTTGAATTGTTTATGTATGTCTTATATCAGGACTCACAAATAAATAATATACAAGTTTGTTACATGACTAAACAAGCAAAAACAAATGGAGTTGTCTCAAATATTGAGATTTAAGAGAAATACAGTTGTACCATCAAACCAGCAAATGGGACATCCCTAGCAAGTGTAGACCAGTATCTGTGAAAGTAAACACAATAAGCTATGCAGCCAAAACAAGGACTGTAAGCAGAAAGGAATCCATTTTACAATATCAAACTTCTAGAAATAACTACTCCAGTATCTGCGGAGTAATTCTTTTGTTTATATTGTCAATTTTTTCTAATTAACATACTGAAAATAACTGAATGCATCCACATTTTTTTAAACTATACCCCGCATATAAACCCTTTGGCCCCTGCTCCTTCCAAATAGAGCAGCCAGCTTGAAACATTCCTGAATAATAACCATATGTGTTCATCCCATGTTTCATATGGGCCCCATCCTTCAACACAACAGAAGTCCAGTGCTTTCTTGTGCCTTGGACCTGCATGCGTTGCTTTATCACCTCACACGGGACATATACAAATGAACCTAGAGTATCACCTGAACAGAACATAAAATTATTTCACTTTGAGTTCAAACTTTTAAAAGCAATCCAATGAACACGACAATTCAAACAAAACTGAGAGGAAAAGCAAATGTATAGAAGGGTTGACCTATAGCTCCAGCAATGAAATGTGCCCAGTGGCCACCGAGATTAGGATGAGAATGTTCAATCCACTTTTTTGTGGACTCTATGACCCCAAAATAAGTAGCCCCAGTTGCTAAAGATCCAGTGATCCCTGGTGTTAGTCCTCTATAAAATCCTGCCATGAAAATCATTCTGTTTTATTACCACCTTTAGATTATTCAAAACATATCTATGGATTAGCCCATTAAAAAACAAGAGGAAATGGAGTACCGGCCAAACTATCTGTAGTCCACACAGTTCGGATCATCTGTAACACACTTTTCTGATTCTGGAGAAGTGGAAATAATCAAATGTAACAAAACGATATATTAGAATTGAAACCTTCTGATGGGATTTAATCCATTAAACACAGCAGTGGGCCGTGAATGTAGGTAGAATTATAGGATTATAAATAAAAAACGATAAGAGAGCAAGAAGCCATATGACCTCACGTGCATTCAGAGTTCAATCCCTTTTCCAGGATTGGAGAATGTGTACTTATAGTACAAAGAAGGGTTGTTACGATCCGCTATCTTAGCAGAGAATAGTAGATCGTGGACTAAGTCCACCACACGTGCCTCCCTAATTGTTACCATGCTCCCGACTCCAACCGGGTTTGAACTCACCTGATACATAGGGCCAACTAGTCTGGGTCTAACTGACAATAATAGAAAACGTAGGTATATTGGGTTTAACTCAAGCACACACCTGGGTCAGCCCCAGTATTCCCATCAGTGCAATCACAAACCCCCTAATTTGTTGTTTAGTCTTAATTGAAAAATACAATACAAGAAATTACAATTAAAATGGAAGGGAGTTTGAAATTCAAAATGCTTAGTGTGTCATTGTGCGACAACGCATGTGGAGCGTTGAGGGCGGCGTCGTGTCTTTCCAAGGCATTTATCATTCCAAAACTCATCATCACAGGACTCTCTACTCTTCGCTGCATGTGCAATCACAATGAGGGTTCAACCCTTGCCTATTTAAACCCCACTCACTCTCCTAACAAGCCTTTTACACCTCCCTTTATTCTGAATTTCCTTACAAATCTTCTAAAAATTCTTCATAGTTTCGTCCTCGTCTTTGTGCATCTTTTAAACTTCCAATCAAGCAAAGTGGGTATAATGGACCTTTGATTTGCTATTCCCTGAAAAAGTGTTCTAGGAAATGCCTTGTTAGGTCGACCCATCAGTCAACAGATGACGTCGGGATGGTTCCAAACAAATCTGTGACATTGCTCTCTAGGGCTTAGAGAAAGCACCTAGAAACCAACTCCTATGTTTCTCCCACAGCTAACATATTGGCATAGTAACAACTCAAATGCTCATGGGGTCAGTCTCCAATGTGTATCAAGAAAGGAACTTTGAAGTTTTAAGGATAATGAGAATTGCATGACTCGCTGTGTGAAATGAGTAATCGTTTGGACCCCCATGTTCCTCCCTGTGGACGCTCCAATGTGTTGTCGCTCAAGTTGTTGTTTGAGGTCCTGGATTTCCTTCAACACTAAGACATCTGGAGTCTATTGGACTGGTACCTCCATAGCAAGTTCACAATGTTCAGGGTAGTTAAACCACAGAATAACTATATCAGTGCATACAGGGCTATGCCGCCCGAGAACAAGAAGCATTATGAACACTCGTATTTTTAGTGTTTGATCCTTCCTCCAATCTTGGAGAGGGGTATTTATAGTACAAGGAATCACTGCCACTATCCACTTTCTTGTGAGAAAATAGTGGGTTGTGGACTTAGTCTACTAGGGGCACTCTATCCTTGACCTAAACTTAATTGCAACCGTGCTGACGACTCCACCCGGGTTTGGACCTCACTTTCAGGGTGAGTACACCCGAACAATATCTAGCGGGTTCCAAACCTCAATAAATAGATAGGACTAAGTAGTTTGGGCCTAGCTAATAATACCCAGGAGTAACAGAATTATAGAACAGGTTGGATACATTGAGCCTAACTCGATCACACTTGTGGCGGTGCCAACATACCTATCACCACCCATATGTTTCTGAGAAACTCGGTGGTAGAGATAAAAACTCAACACGTGACCGCCAAATCCAAGTGAGAAATCAATAAAAAAAATGCATTGCTAGTCATCAGGTGATATTCATACCCGAGATCCAGTAAGAATGGCCTGGCTTTGGATGCGAGTTTTGATTGTATCAATCGGGTGCATCATTCCTTCCCCAAAGGCTCCTGCAATTGCCCCCCATACGAACTCTCTCCAAACTGGAAATAAGCACACATAACAAACAACACATGAATTCGAGCATTACAGAAGTTAAACCAGTGATAATGGAAATCATTCATTGGTATCCGTGATCGTATTTGGGCGGACTACGAAGTTAATTATGCGCATAAACACGATGATACGTTGGCATGCTGCTTACCGAAGAACTGATTATTGTTTGTTAAATTGTTGGGGTACGTTGCCAGCACTTTGGATGAACCTTCAGAAGTGGAGTCGGAGGAAGCCATGGATGTGCCCCGTTTGTGAACGCAGAGCGTAGGGTTTTAGAGAGGTTTTGTTTTACTAGGTCATTTATTGCATAGAGAAATACTCCATGGATCCACCCAATAATGTTTTAATTATAACTGCCTCGAAATAGAACTCAAATCTTACTCCATTGGCATTTCTTGATAATTACTCCTTTTTTTGTGAATCAATTAGATACATCTGCTTGAACATTCTTCTTTTAAGATCAAAGTTACCTATGGGACGATAACTTTTACTTGTTTTTATCATTAGTCCAGCTGCATCAAACGATAGTGCATCATTGGTTATCATGTATAATTTTTCCAAGCGTGTTAAAGAGACGCCCTTAGACCATTTCCAACAGTGTAAAAAATATATGTGCGAAGAAATTTTTTTGCCTCCACCGGTGAGTTTCTATGATTTTCAAAAGATTTTCACGCATATCTTTTTTCTTTTGCACACTCTTTTTGCTTACTCATGGCTCTACGCTCGTGTGCTCTCTTTCTTATTAATTGAGAAAGATGTGACTTTTTTAATGTTTTTTCTCACTGGCCAACCAAAAAACACTCATATAAGATGAGGTAGAAGCAAGAGAAAGTTAGGTAGAGCAGTATGATGATTTTTTTCTTTTGCACAATGCTTATGATATAAATGTGGGAAATTTACCTAAATCTGTACTAAAACATATTAAATTTCCCAATTTAGTATCATATATTTTTATTTCTTAATGTAGTACCACTTGTCAATCTCCACTAGTCATTGTTCAAGTAAATGTCTACTGTCACAGGACATTGTTCAAACTAAATGTTCACTATCACTGGACATTGTTCTCGCAATTTTACATTATTCAAGTATTATTTGGAGAATTAAAAAGTTTAATTACTACATTGAAAAATGATATATGTTTTAGTACTATTTAGTGCAAATTCAACTATAATTATGGATTGATTTTGTGACATGTAAGTTATCTAAAATACCTTTTGCATACATTAATAGCTAGGTCAGGTTTACAATGATTAAGTTCAAAAGTAATTTTCGTGAGCAGAATTTTGCGGCCGACCGCCTTGTAAAAATTAGAACCTTCTAGAAGACAGATTGAATAGAACACATGCCCCCCCTCTCCCCGGAGTGGAAAAGATTATTGTTGAGGACGTGATGGGTGCTACAAGAGTTCGTAGAGTGCACTCTACCGAGCAGATGAGCTAGTCTTGCGTCCACCCTCCCTTCTAATCCAAAAAAACTATCTTCTTTGTTTTGTATAGTCTTAAAGATGTAAGAATTTGTTTTAGTTAAATATGGCGTAACATTCTTAACCAAATTTAAATAAAAAAGAAAAAATGTTCGTCGTGACTTCGTCATCAAGATCTATATAAAAGACGTCATCGTTGTGCTTGTTTTATTTAACTTTTAGTTAGAGACAATGTTCATTAAAGAAAATTCTTAATATTTCAAAAGAAGATAGAATTGTATTCATTATAAAAGATAACTTTGACATAATATTAGTGTATCCAAAAGATATTACATGTCATCAGGGCGATCCCGAAAAATTAAAAAATAAAATTGGCCCAGTCTTAAATTTATATTTTGTGCTCTATTTTATTTTTTAAGAATATTTTTCCTTTAAAATTATTAACAAATTTAAAAATAAGGGGCCCTAAAATTTTAGGAATCTTGTACGATTGGCCACTTTGCACACTCTCCGGGCCACCCATGCATGTCATATAGGGAGTATTACAAAGGTGCATCTTCAATGCACTTGAAATGACACGTGAGGACCATTCATGTTACATTTTCGAAAATAATTCTGTACAAAGTAAGAATTAAGAAAAAATGTGGAGGGTTAATTACATCAAAAGATGTACCATATAACTTTGAGTGCAATAAAAAAATTTATTTGTGAATAAAATATATTCTCTCTGTCCCAGAAAACCTTTCTCCTTTCTTTTTTCATCCATCCTAAAAAACACTTCTTATTTCTATTAAAAAGTCACTTTTACCCCTTACTTTTTCATACCCTACCTATCACATCATACCTTTTTACTAATAATCTATCCATCAAATCATACTTTTACTCATCACATCAAAAGACATTTTTGGAAATTCAATACCAAAATACACTCACCTTAAATCACTCTCTAAAATCAAAACTCTCGTGTTTTTCGGGACAGAGAGAGTATATGATGAAAAGAGTGATAGTATACAAATACGATTCATTTTTCATGTATTCCTAACAAGAAAAAAATTATATTAACCCCACTTTTGACGTACATTGCCTTCATAGACATTACAGACACACGACATTGTTCCGTGTCTGTATCATCTGTGAAGGAAATGTAGGTTAAAAATGGAGTTAAAGTAGGGTTGCATAGCTCTCCTAACAATCAATGTTACACTTTTTAATTGGAAAAATACTCCGTAGCCCGCATGGGTAGCTCAAATGTTCAAAAGAGAAGATGTCAAACCCGTTGATTCTAGAGTCAAATTCCGACAGCGACAATGTGAGACTTCTATTATTTGTAATAGCTCATTGTGCGCACTGAATACGTGCAGTTATCTTTAAAAATCAGATTAAACACTACTGTGGGATCAGGGTGTGCGGTGCCCGGTTGGGCTTTCCACTTTTTTTTTTTGGAAAAATACTCCGTACTAACATAAATGATTGAGACAGGGAGTAAAGAAGGCTAAAGGCGACCAACCTGGAGCGGATTAGTGGGGGGTAAAAAAAGATCACCGCATGAAAGTCTATGGGTCGGGTTAATCACCCCACCTCCCATGGAGCATTCCGTCCGTTGTCCCCCAAGACCCTGAACATTTCTACTCAGTATTTTTTCAAAGGCTGAGTGCAATATTTCAACCTGCAAATCCACCGAATTCTTCTTCTCAATTGTCCTTTCCACCTACTTCTGATCGAAAAAGCTTCTTCCAAATTTCACCGCACCGTAATCAATGCGCCCCTTTATTCTTCATCTACGTTACAATGGATGACACTCCAGTCTCTCTTCATGACACCCCTCGTTCTTCAAATATGTGGCCTGGACGAGAAGGATTTTGGCGACATTTGCTCATTTCGATGTATGGGTGTCGCTGCTAATTTGTGTATTAGAAATGGGTAATTTCGAGAACTCACTTTTTATCAACTCCGTGGATTGGATTCTATGATGTTTTTTGTTGATGGAGGACTGTATCTGAGACGGGTTCACATTATTATTATTGCTCTTGGACTGTAGCAATCATCACTGTACGGTTTCCCCCTTTTTTGGTTCAGGAAGAAATGATATAGTAAAAAAATTGACTGTTGATTTTGATTATTCTAGGTGGAGCTCCAAGAAACCGGTTTTAGTCGTTACCGTTTAAGGAGATTTAACTGCATTGGTGAAACTTGCTCTAGGCAATTGCATAGAATAGTTGGCTTCTTTTGTAATTTATTAGTTCTTGGTTAGAGTTCTTGGGGAAGTTTGAGTTTATTTGTTTAGTTGGAACTCCTGCTGCAGCATTAAGGAAAGATTCAGTTACTATTCTGATTGTTGAAAAGAGGGGAAATGTAGTTTGGGACCTAGGTTATTTGTGGTTTGATTGGAATAGAGATGGATGTCTGGTTTGTGGCTGCTGTTGCTGCTGCTGGTTATATTTCTTGGAAGGATCTTTTGCGTGGTAAAAAAAGCTTTGTGGATTCGCCCCGTGAAACTTCTGGAGAATTGAAGCATAATTCTTCACAAGATGCTCCTCAAGCCTTTGATAACACAAGAGAAACCTTTGATGATGGAAATGTTTCATATATGGAAAAGGAATTGGGAGGGTCATTGAGTGAACAAAAACTTCAAGGGTATAAGGGGAGGGCTCAGTTATCCGTTCACCAAGAAATGAGCTTTTATGGTCATAGAACTGGCAAAAACCGTAGACGTACCATAAAACCTTTAACTTCTCTTGAGAATTGTTTAGTGGCTCACTTAATCCAGGAGCGATCCGAAATGGAAGAGTATATATTTGGTTCAGTTTCTTTGCACCCTACACCAATTCCATTTCTGGTTACTGATGGAAGTGCAGTTATTAGCAGAAGTAGTGGTGAGTCTTGTGGTATGCAAGTTGGGAATGAGCTGGATAAGCTGCAAAAGGGGATCATTATTCCACAAGAGAAGACTATATATGGCGTTCCTCAACTACCGAATTTCTTGTCCGCAGATGTCCAGCGAAAAGCTAGAGCTAGTAAAAAGGGCCGTGTCAGGATCTTTCAAAATTCCAGAAGAAAGATGAATTGCAAACATCATCATCCTCGAGGTAATAACTTCTTAAAATGAAGAGTTTTTGTGTGTCAAATGTCAATGGAATTTCAGGAAGGCTGTCTTTATGCCATTTTGACAAGCCATAACATATTAACATGTCTTGCAAGCTATTACATTGATATTTCATCTATAAAATCATCTTATTCACATGATGAAGTAATTTGCTTTTAGTAAATTTGGCTCATAAATATACTTTCTTTGTGATTCAGGGTTGTCTAGTGAAGCCTTCCTTCTATCTCTTGGAATGCATGTTGTGTTTTTCTCATCCGTCTTGGCTCATAAAAAGGAAATAGAAAAATTGAATCACATACTGAAGCAGACAAATTATTTGGTTCAAGATCTACAAGACGAACTCGAAATGAAGGAATCATTGACCGTGAAAGAACTTGCCCCAGAGGATTACGAGTCAGAATATATTCGAATTGATGCTTATAACAATGACAGGTTGCGTTCACTTTCTCCTCAGCAGAATTCAAACAAGACATCTTCTGAGTATTATGCTGAAGAGTGCGACTATAAGCACAGATATGATGAGGAACCTATGAGTAAAATTGCAGCAGAGCTTGAAGTAGAGCTGGAGAGATTAGAACAAAATATGAATTCAACTCCCATGGCTGGGAGATACACAGAACCGATTGAGGTAAAAAGTTTTTTTTTTTCACATGCATAGCAGCCCATAGAGTTTACTTGGTATATAAACATTGGAAGCACAAAAGTGGAATTTTGATACTGAAAATTATTGAGTTTTTGTAAAAGGACGTTAGATTTTAACTATGAAAAGGGGCAGTTTATATCTAAATTCCTCATGCATTGGAATGACAATGGGATGGGGTGGGATAGGTAACTAACTAAAGACTACGCCTCGTCCCATCCTTAGAACAAGGAGGGAAGAATATATACATTTGGTAAGATTAAGTAAAGATCAACTTCATCTATCCACATAAAATATTATCCTAAATATTCTGCAAAAAAAACTTGTTGCAATCGTATGCA